AATCGCACCAGTTGTTCTCCTGCACTATATTCTTCCAAACAAATGCTGCAGCGGTGTTCATCCCCTAAGTATTCAACATTGGTGTGTTCGGCATGTGGTGTTACCATGGGTTCTGCATTATTCGAGGGCACAGCAGTGGGGACCGGATTCACCTCACTCCTCGAACCTTCCGAGCCTCTGTTTCTCATCTCCTGCAAGGTCATCATCGTCCGGTGTTGATGATGAAGAGCACGTACCTGCGGATGGTTGAATGCTGGTTCACTGACCTGTCCGGATGTTCTAGAAGCTATTGGGACCTCACGCAGCTGGCTTGCCTGATGAAAGTCCCCCACAATTTGACTACGGATCGGGTCAAGAGTGCTGATAGCATTCTCCGAGACAATCGGATGATAGGTCGGTGCATGCACCTCCGAGGCAGTTCCCTGCAGGAAATTGAACTCGGGCATTGACGCCCATTCTGGTAGTTCCGGTGCCGGATGCCGAAGGATCACCGTGGGGATCTCCCCTGGTCCCACGATCAGTGGGTGTTGCGACACTTCGTGCCGTTGGACCTGTGGTAATTGCATTGGTGGTGGTTGCATGTTTTGGGCAACATATGGTTCTTGAATAGTAGTCGATTCTGCAACAGGTTGCTGTGAAAATGGTTCTTTGTTTACATTTCTGCCCTGTGGATTAGTGGGGTTATTCTGGGGAGGATTATTCATTGGATTAGTGGCTAGTGGGGTGTTATGGGTGAATTGGTTCATCAGTGGCGGTCCGAATGATCGTGGTTCCGTGGTCGGATGCATCAGGCCATTCAGGCCGTTGAAGACACTCTGCATATACAAGGATTGGTCGGCCATATCCACTGTCCGGGTCGTGCGCGGCAGTGGTGGCATAGGGTTCACAATCCCCCCAACGACCTGCCTCCCTGTCCTGCTCTCGTGGTACCGCCTCCAAGGATCACTGTTGGCCCACGGGTCCTGGGGTACAGCTGGCAACGTGGATGCATTTGATGGAGGTCCGCCAGAAACTGTTGACCAATGATCAGTTCCGGATTCCTGTCCAACATTGACATCCACTTCATTAACCATGAGGACCGTGGTTGATGTGATTACCCCTGGGGGAATTTGATCGACGGTATCCAAGTCTACAAACAGGTTCTGCGAAGTGTCACCAGCAGCAGCCCGTCTGGGGCATTTGGCGACCAGATGTTCTTCCGAACCACATTCGTGGCATTTCATCCTACGTCCATCCGGGCCTCTTGGATTGCCCTTTCTGCCCTTACCCTTGCCACTCCCTGCCCCTTTCTTTCCACCTTTTGCCCTAAAGGCAGGGAAAATTTCCATGAGCTGGGATTCATTGAGTTCGGACAAGTAAGATGAAGTGTTGATGATCTTGCCTTTGGGTTTTCCATGCTTTGACTTACCACCTTTTCCACCTTTATAGATGGCTCTGCGAGCAAACCTCCGAGCTTTTCGGGTCGGCTTGCCCATGAATGACCTCCAACGTGCCTTGGCACGGGAATAGGCCCAGTAGAGCTCAGCAGCCTGTTCATTGGCCGTGGCACCCTCAGCAGCTGGCCAGGATTCATCTCCATAGTCACTGCTGGTATCGGTGTCGGTGCCACTGTCACCCTGACCATCTGACAAATACACGTATGGATCATGTGGCTGTGTATAAGTAGGGTATGCTTCGGATGACTGCCATGGGGATTGCCAAGAACTGTGGTCATGCCATGAACTACTGGGTTGGTCATACTGAGATGTGGGTACATTTTCATTCCATGTGTGATCGTCCTGAATATGGTAACTGTGTGTTGGATTTTGTCTACCCCGCAACATATTGGACATATTTCCTGGTGCATTTTCAATGATCCTACCCATGCGTCGAATGGCACCTTTCAACTCCGTGAACTGCTGTTCATCAGCAGGGAGAGCACCACCGAGTGGCTGCAGTAATTGGATCAATTGAGAATCCGAGACACCAACTGCCCGGATCAGCAACCAAGAAAGACCAGCATAGCTCAGGGCGAGCCCACCTGTCTCTGCCGCACGCATGCGGGTGGTATCAAACCTGGTCAGCAACGTGTCGATCCGTTCATTGGATTCCCTTCCAAATGACAACAGATCTCCTACTGCCCCTAGCCTGACTTCCTCACCTAGCCTGGCAAATCGGGTGCTGAGTTGATACATCAGAAACGTTAGTGGGTCGGTTTGGGTACCATTTACGGTCCCCCCTGTCAGAATGGTCTGCGGCGGAAGTGTTCTGCTGAACTCCCTAGCTGATCCCTGCAACTGAGAAATCACACTAGCCGCCTTCCGAGATGCATCCCCATCTGTAGCAATGCTCCAAATTAAGATGTCTCTGGACCAAGTGCTGAAGCTATACTGATGCTCCATTTCGGGGCTCCATGCGGGGGGCAATCTTGGATGGCTACTCCTACCTGGCACCATGCAAGCGACTAACGCACATGTGCTGAGGCCGCCTCCAGCGGCTAGCACTAGTGTCGAGTCCGAGAGCGATCTACCATCACGGCGACCAGCGGTCATCGAACCCGAGTTGTCATGGGCTTCAGGAGACTTCACCTTCCGATTGCCTGCTTTGGATCCGGTCATGCAATGATTCCTGGATCTAATGGCTGCATCTTTCCCATAGACCAGCTCACAGAGTTCCTTGTGACGGGACTTTAGATGTTTCAGCTTAGAGTCGTACATGGTTAGCAATCTTTCAAGTACCGATCTCTGCTGCCGTCTAAGCCGCCTACGCAAAAGCTCTGCCCTACGCTGATCTCGAGGGTTCATTTTGAACTTCCTCCTTGAGTGGTGCAGCCGCACCAGGGTCGAATTCAGCTCCTGCCTCCAAAGATCCCCATTCACCAGACTGGGCTTGTACTCGCCTTCGGACCTGGCCTGTACTGGGGTTTTGCGACCATTGCTCGCTGCATACCAGTGTGTAGTGACACTGATCGAGCCTGCCCCAATCGCACTGGACTGGATCACAAGAGCGCTGGTATTGCGACTCTTGATCACCAGCCCAGTACTGGCTGAGACAGACCCCACCAGTGCCACTACTAACACGGCACACAACTTCAGCACGGCGGTGAACATGATGACAATCAATGGAGTAAGGATGAAAAGAAAATGAAAACAGTCGAGTCGACCCTTAGGGTATAGCAGATACCTTAAATGGGGGTTACTGCCGGGGTTCCCGGCTCCGCTACCAACTCGAAAAAGAGAGGAACTAACGTGACAAAGAAGTACTGTTTCCGCAAATGTCTGTTTTCCTCTGACTGCTTGTGACGAGGTCTTGTGTTTACCTAGGTCGAGCTCTAGAGCCAGAACAGTTACATGGACAACAATGAACCTGAGGTAAGATAGATCATGTACCTTTCAAGTTATTTCCGTGTTTGAACAGTACATTCAGGAATCGTCAGAATCCACGAAACAAGTCAAGTCAGATCTAGCAACATCTAGCAACCATAGTCTGGAAGATGGAAGGCAACATAAGGCGCAGTTTTTTTCTGAGTCATCGGCTCATCCAAGGATTCCTGACAATTGTCGCATTACTATCACATCGTGTCGCTCAATGGCTTGTCTGAGCCTCTCTCTACCAACTGAGCACAGCACCAATGTGACATTGTGTTGAACAAGTGAATGGCCATGGTCCGGGTCGTGGTGGCCCTGAGGCAATTTCTTCAAACTTCGGCAAGCTTCCATGCTTGTGGTGCGGATGAAGCAGGATTGCTTAGGCCCTGAGTGGAAACACAAAGCACATCAAAGCACCATCTGCATCAAGGTGAAGATGGTGAAGACATTGTGAAGGCTTTGGTTCCACAGTGCAAGCCCGACTGATCAACATTGATCAACTACTGCACGACTGACACGACCAAAATGTGTAGCTGGATGATGCTGGATGATGCTGGATGCTGCTGACTCAGGTCAAGGCAGCTTCGGACAGCAAAAAGATAGGGGCCTGAAGTTCTAAAAAAGTCACATGAGTCACGATGAGCCAAGCAGCACATAATCAGCCGCCAGTTCTGAAAACCGTAAACGGTACCGTAAACGGTACCGTATGGTACAATGGTCTCGTTCGTCCAGATATGTCCAGATTCTTTCTGCCTGTGCAAATCTGAGTTCTGCCTGCATCACCAATGCTGTCAGAGATGTGTAGAACTGAAGCCTGGCACGGTCTTGTCGCTGAGGCGAAAGGGGCCAGAGGAAAGACAGGGGGCCAAGATATGGTGCGACAGGGACCAAGACATGTTTTTGAATCTGGATGGAAATTAACTTTAAGCCTGACTCCTTCGATTCGCTATCCACTCACAGGCATCCAACGAAAATCCAAATCAAACCATATCAAACCCATTTTCCGAGAAGAAAAAATACATCGTAGCGCCTTTTTTCTGATATGACTTCTCGCCTTCCCGTTAAACATGCCGTGACGTCTGAGAGGCTGTGTACTCACTGCCCAGTAGCCTGCTTTGGAAAACCAATTCCAATTTGGGTGACTCTGCCGCCAAAACAATGTTCAGGGTACTCAAGGCAATCGTGATGGATTCATTGTTTCCATGCATTGAATATGGAAGGTGCTGCCCCGGAAGCACTAATCACACTAATCAGCCTACGAAACTTCAGTGAAGCATATATTCCGGCAAGCGTAACAAGCTACATTTTCACGGATGTGAAACAAATACCTTCTGAAATATGACCAGTGGACTGAAATCAAACTGGAAAAAGACAGACTCAATGATAATAACATTATTATTTAATCTAAAACATAATATACAAATTAATACGTATGTTTGTTCGCGTTCTGCAGCACTTCTGCTGGACCACCTCTTGCTGAAGACATTTTGAACACATTCGATGATGTTTGTGGCCACGGCTGCCGAAAAGCCCACCTGGCATTAAAAAAAAACAGAGCTATAGAAGAAACAAATGCAAACTGTTGGACTGTTGGACATCCTGAATTCTGATCATTCTGTCAATTCAGATACTTGTTTAAGTTTGTAGATTATTTCAACATGCCTTTCGAATCTGAGCTGGTTTGGCGATGTTGAAGGAGAGTTCAGTTGAAGAAACCAGCACCTCACAGCCGGAGCAAAGCCAGAAGACCCTCAGTCGTCCCTCAGTCGTTCCTTGAAAAGGGGTCGTCACGACGCGTTGCCAGCTGGTCTTGGTGGGTTCCAGCTGGGTTCCAGAGCCAAACCACCAGCAACAGGAACCAGAGATGCCACCACCTCACGTGAAACAAATGTGGAAACAATGGACGTCTGCAAGTGTAGTGTTCAGACATGTTCAGACATGTTCAGACTATGTTGCAGATTGTTGCAGATTGTTGCAGCCTGTGCAATAATTACTTAACAGACTTATGACTTAAGTGTTAAATTTTAAGCAAACCGTTTTTGTCCTCTCATCGCACGGAGTGAGAAACACTACGTCCATACACCAGTTGAATATAATTCAACAATATTCAACATACCTCTTGGGGCAATGCATTGATGTTGAGGCCACGCAGTTCGACCTCAAAGAAAAGGTCCGAATTCGGAGGAATGGGCCCTGCGCCTGACGTCCCATAAGCTTAGCTGGCACACGCATGACAGCTCGCTCTCCCAGGCTCCGAGCTGAAAGTTGAAGAGGTCACGGTTTTTCGAATCGAAAAGCTGACCAAAGCTGACCAAAGCTGACTCTGCAGGTAGCCTGCGTATTCCACAAAGGGTGTATCACCATCGTTGGGATAAGTCAGGCCATCCCCAGCTTTCACTTGCTTCAGCATCAAGCCACTCTCAAGAACCACAGCACGGGAACTTGATGACAACATCTTGGGAAGCAAAGCTGTGTGGTTGTGCACCAAATCGCTTTCGTTCATCAACCGTTCAATGAATGCATTTCAACATATGTCGAGTCTGTCGAGTCTGTCGAGTCTGTCGAGGGCTTTGGCGACTTCGGCATCTCCAGGATGCTTTGCAGAGTGCTTTCATCCTGCGACCATGCTGCACCTTCTGGAGAACCTCTGGAGATCCTCTGGGCAGACTGGGCTTTGGAGAACCTCTGGAGATCCTCTGCAAAGCTTCTGGTCTTTTGGTCAGCTCTGCAAGCTGCGGATTCACTGCCGCCATTGTACCATGGGATTCTCTTGCACAATCTTTGTAGTTCCTTATCTGCCGTGATGTTCTGAATTTGCTTCTGAATTGTGTGGTTCTCGAAGTCCTGATAAAGCCCAGGGTCCACATAGGCTTCTGCAAGATCGCCACCAACAGATTGAAGCATGTTCTGCAAGGTCTCTCTCTCAATGGGCTTCTTTGACGCGAGCCTTTGAAAGATGCTACTCCATGCACCCATGCCAGGCATCTTGTTGTTTCCTTGGATGATGTCGGCCAAGTTGAAGCCCTCTGGTTTCTCAGAATGCTCAGAGTCAAGAACCATCTTCTCTTGCCCAACTGAGTCACCAGGAGGGACTTTGAAAGAAACTGCGGCACTGATGCTAAGCAGAATCACACCTGGAAGAAACATCATCTTGAACGGCATGGGCAGTATGAGCTGGCACAGTGCTCCACAGGAATTGGGAGTTGCTTTATCTTGGGTCCAAAAAATGGCAAAGCGGCGGAATCATGCAGAAGCCCGCCAAGCCCATTTCATTCATTAAAATCACTTGCCAGAAATGCATAGAAATGCAAGAAGCTACTACAAGCGGTATGAAAGTTAAGGAACTATAAGGAACTTGCCACAGCAACACTCTTTGACCCTTTTTGGCGTGACAGTAGCGGAAAAGGATGACTGAGTGACCGGACCAAAAAGTTCGTTCTTTCACCTAAATGACAGTTGGACATGAAGATCATGAAGCTCTTCTGACTGATTGCTGTCTCTGTCTAGTCCTGTTTGTGATATTTGTGCCCGAGAAAAGAACCTGGAAATCAGCCGTGTCTCAGCTTGGTCGTCGGTCCAAGGTTCCGAGCCCAGCATCAAATACGCAATGATGACGGTGAAGAACGGTGCAGAGGCCTGGCACAGAGGCTATGGGGCCGTGCGGGCCCTGCACCACTTCATACCACTTCCACGACTTGGTCCACTACTTGGTCCACTTGGTGTTCGATGGCCTTGATGGTCTCAGTAAACGAAGCTGCCACGTACTTCAGACCTTGCCACGCTGTGCTCCACACAGCCTCCACATGACCTCCCTGTCCCTGAGCATTCTGCCCTCCCAAATACAGATTCTGTCATTCTTCTGCCATTTTGTCATGTTCATTTCATTCATTTCTGTCTTCTCTTTTTTCCTCACTTTGTGTCCATGTCTCCGGAAACGAGGTCCAAACTCACCAGGCCCAACACGACGGTAGAAAACTGCCAGCAATGAGCAGTGGACAATCGATGTACTGCGATATCATGCGATATCCAAGGAAATCACTTAGGAAATCACGTAGTGAAGCATTGAAGTCATTCATTACTTCTGTTCATCTTGAGATGGCTGCAGGGAAACCTAGTAATTTCAATAAGTCTAATACCACTATAGTCGTCTCTTCGGTTGACAAATGCGACAGCCATCACATCGTACCCTATCGCACATTGTGACACATCGTCGCACCCTCATGATGCCAACGAAGCTCATCTGTAGCAGGCTGCGTCTCCACCGCCGTCCCTGGCCACTCTTTTGAGCGACAGGTGCCCCCACGAACACGTGAAAGCGGATAAAAGCCGATACACATACCACAATGTGGATATATAGTCTAGATTCTAGATCATTTGACACACAGCCAATATACTGCAAATCCCATTTGTTGCACTTCTGTTCTATGTATGTTCTATGTATTTGCAGTGGCGTTCTTCACCTCACAGCTTTGGTTTCCGCTGCACCATGCTATGCTGTGCCCTGCTGTGCCTTGTTTGAGGAGCCGTCCAAGTGGTCGTCGACTTCTGGCGATTCGGGGTCCGCCACCTCTGAGCTCGACCCAGGCATTGCAGAAGCACAACAAGTGAACAAAAAGAAACGAGAAGAATGTTGGAAGATGTTGGAAGATGTTGGAAGATGTTGGAAGATGTTGGAAGATTGCAAAACGGTGAAAGATGTTGAAAAAAATCTTTAAAATCCATGAAAATCCATGGGATCATGTGCTTGGGCCTCAAAAACTGTTGGCTCAACCAGAAACAAACTTGGCGCATCAAACATCCTGTCAAGTCTACAAACTTCCATAAGCTAGTAGCAGCTAGTGAGCTAGCTTGGTTTCCCCTCAGACTTCAATCCCATGTTGCAGGAGCCTCAGCCTACAGCAACCAGGCCAACTAGGCTCCCCGACTTTGGATTTGGATTGTCCGTCTACAAAACTCCTTGCCTTCACAGCTCCAAGAAGCTCCAAGATGCTCCAAGATTCCAATGACAACTCGACAATCCAAAGATATCGAAAGTGTTGATCTTGTCTTCTCTTTCTTCGCTGTCGCTGTCATTAAAGTGTCTGAATTAATCTGAAGTTCAATGAACAGCATGAAGAGCCCCCCACCTATACCTTTTCTTGGCCGGTCTGATTTTTGTCTGCATATCAGTTTTTGGTCTCGGTGTGCAAGTATGACAAAAGCATTGTTTTCTTGGCTCCTGTATGCTCCTGTTTTGGGCCTAAAAAAGCGCCCCAAACAACAATCAGCAAAAAAAATGATTCTTGCATTCAATATGTGTTCTCCATTGCAACGCTGCTGTTATAGATTGGAGGGCTTCAGATTTTCTGCACGCCCACTCCAAAGCGCAATGGAAACTCAAAGAACTACAAAAGGAAAAAAAGGACGAAGCAACAAAGAGGTAAATGGAACATTATGGAACATGAAACATGGATAATTCATGAAAAGTTCCATTTTGTGTGGGTATGTGCTCCGGAAAAAACTGCCAAGAACAGCAAAATGAAAAAGGACGCGGAATAATTCAAAGGGGTGGTGCTGGGTGCACAACAAGTTTAGTTGTTTCGGACTGGTTTCTGGCTCGTTTCAGACCGCCAAGGGGACCTTATAGGACAAGGATGAGGAAAAAGAAAAGGGAAAGGAAAAACAAATACAAAGAAAAAGGAAGGAAAAGTCGTGAGCAAAAAACAAAAAGGAAGATTGTCATATAGAAAAAAGACGAGGAAGCAAGAGGACTGGGGAATCAGGAGAGCAAGAGAAAAAAGAAGGGAAGAGAACCAGGACGAAGGTTTCAGACTAGTCTACTAAGGCCCTGAAAACTTTATGCTATCAACAATAAGCAACGGGAAATCTATAACAAAAACTTTGTTAAAAACCAAAGACAATTAGTTTTCAAACCCAAAGATTACACCAAACACAGCTGGTCCGGGAGTCCGGGACCGTTCGAATCCAAGGCCTCTGTCGCCAAGCGCTTCAAGTCGGTGAGCTTCAAGATCTTCAGAGCTCCGTAGATGGCCGTGGAAACCTCCAAGAGACATCAGCCGGGCCACCGGGTGGCCACCGGATGCCACCGGCCAACAGGAGCGATTCGAGCTTGTTTGTCTTGTTTGTCTTGTTTGTCTCCATTCAAACAAGAAGTTGGCCAAAGGTATTCACTTCATATGTTTACAGAACTCTTACCATCTTTGCGGCAATGAAGTTCGAGTGATCAATCCTGTGAAAGCCAGCAACTTGGCTTCGCGCCATTTGGACGGCCGCCAACGTGTTCGGCTGCACTTGTCGATATCCCATCAGGTACTGCACGGTGCGCTGCGCAGTCTGCTGCACAGCATGCTTGATATGTTGGTGAAGTTTGATCAAATGATCAGGGTTTCTACATAATGCCTTTCTAAGTCTTTCTACTCAAGTTGAGCATTTGATAACTAAAAACATCTCTTGTTCTTGTCTCCCTTTAGCTGCCCTGACCCAACTTTCCTTGTTGAGGAGAAGAGTTCCAAAGGATGTCAAATACCACCTAGAATTGAGGCGAGCTGTGTCACACAGTGTCACAACAGCAGGATATCCATATGCAACGAACAACAGTGAATACGTAGGATTTAGGATGGTGGTTTTTTTTCTTTTTCCTGGTTTTAAGTAATTGAAGAACCCATTTTGCCCGCCGATTTTTTCCCGCATCACAACACTCCGTGGCACTCTGCAGCTCGGAGTTTCTCAGTGCCGCACATGGAAACACTGAGAGCAATTGCCAACACATCTGCCTTGGGAAGTTGAAAATGTGTCTGTTGATCAAAAGTGTTGGATCAAAAGTGTTGCATCAAGGTGTCGAGGCTGTTCTAATCCGTTTCAACACCCATTTCGAACACCGCACCGCAGTAGGAACTTCGAGGCTGTCGAACGCCAAGTTGCCATGCTGAGAGCGCTGTAGGCTCAGCGCTCTAGACCTGCTGTCACTCTGCACTGTTGTCACACTAGCACAGGAATTCTATCTGTTTAATCTCATGTGTTACATGCTTTATCTTTTTGTCATGAAAAATTGTGATATTGTGATTGCAAAACTTTTCGAAGTTGCAAAGCTTAGGATATCTCAGGAGGCCACAGTCTCAATGCTCCATGGCTCTCGACGATCACTGTGGTTCACACTCTCCATAGCTCTACAATTTGGGCGACGTGTGTAGTGTGGCGATACGTAGCGTGTCGTGTTGTTCCGTGACGTGTGATGCTCGTGACATCCCGCTGGCAAATTGAGTCAGTCACAGATGTCACAGTCTATGTCTGATGCATCCCTGGCAAAAGCCAAAGGAACTATCACTTTGAGGTTTTTAAGCATTTGGCCGAGGACTCTTGTGAGATGTTTTCCAGCTCACATAAAAATTAGTGATTGTTGTTGACAGACAGGAAATGTTTCCAACTATGTGGGACTATACGGACATACACAGGCTGTACAAATACAAACCGCCCGACTGCATGTTCCAAAATGTTCCAAAGTTCAAACAGCTTGCAGGGAGTCTGCGTGGAAGTCTTTGCGATTTGTGGAGCATGACACGGCATGAAAAGTGCGATTTCTACGGTGGCAAGACTCGCTGTGCCATTTTTATATTTTTGCCACGACCAACGTGAGCCTAAAAAGACTGGGTGAATCTTTGGTGTGAAACTTTTGAGACGAGACTAAGCTCTGAGAGAGGCCAACTTTGCCACGCACAGTGCCAATCTTGGCACTGAAATGATGGCTCCCATCATGGACGATTTCAAACCATCATAACATGGACTGTTTGTCATTTTCGTTTCATTTGTTTCTTCATTTTCTTGTTGTGTTCTTTTCATTTCTTTTCGAATGGGCATGGTTTGGGCACGTCAGAACTTGGCCTTTCTCAGAAGTGAGACAAGTCATGTCAGAACGGTGTTCAAGGAGTCCAAGTCATTGGCCAGCTCAATCAGCCTGAAGCTCGGTGTGATAAAACGTGTGATCCAAACAGTAAGAAGAGTTTTATAGAGGAACGGCTCGAGACTTAAAAAAAAATCAACCATTCTCAGCAATGTTCAACCATTATATACCATTATGACGTCTTGTCTGCTTTATTCATTTTGGCAGTGTATATTCCATACATCATACAGAACATAATATGTTTTGATGATCCAATGATATGTTTCGACGTCCTCCATGCAGTGTAATGCCATTTATTTTGTCATCAATGTCCTGGTCACTCGATCCATCTCTATGTCATCTCTGTGTCCAGATTCTGCCTCCGAGGATTGCCCCTCAAAGCTGCCACGCGGGGCTGGGATGACACCGCCTCCAGTACTTCCGTTTCGTTCTCCTCGCTTGAAACTGAAGTCTCCAGCTGTCAAACAATGTCAAACAATGTCAAACAGCATGCAGGCAATAATATCAACGCTTCACACAGATCAATGTGTTGCAGCCGTTGTTGCCGTTGTTGCTATTCACGTCGACACACGTCAAACCGTCAACTATGATGGGGAAGATTCAATGCACCGTCATTGTGTTTCACAGGAACTTCATGTGCATCAAAATTGCACCAACGACTCATTCCTTGTTGAGAATCACCAAGCTCGAGGGATCCTCTGACCTGGACGTGGCTCAGAAAGTGTACAGACATGCCGTGAAAAAAATCTTAAGAACATGCAAAAATGGACACGTGTCTGCAGAGTGCTCTGTTCCTCTTTCTTGCTGCTTGCACTATACTGTGCTACACAAAGCAAAAGGTTGAAAATACAGTCAACAAAGCGATCCTTCGTTCACAATTCATATCAATTCATCACATCATCCGCGCATTCCGCTGCTCTCGCCTCTGGATTTCGCCCCACCGGAGAGGTCGTTGTGCTCGTCGCAGTAAAAGGCGGGCAGCGTCTCGAGGGACCAACCCCTGAGAAGTCTGTGTCAATGTCTGTGTCAACCCTCTTTGTTAAAGAGATTCCACCAGAACATGTACAAAAATAAATGACCATGATCTAATTCGCTCGCTGCATGATTTGATAATCTTGATTTGAATTGATTCATGACCCAAACCGTATGAAACGCGAATGTGAGTATGGTGTCTCAAGCAGCGCACCCATCTGATATTCATTGGTTACAAATTTCTGTCCAGGGCAAATTTTGGTGTGATTTCAGTCCGCTATATCTCGATTTGTCCATGTCAAAATCAACGCGTTCATTTTCAGAACAAATGACTTGTTAAATTTGTAGTGTTCCAGTCACGTTGGCTCTGTCCGGGCATTTTCCGCCCTTCTTCATCCTTTTTCCAGGAATCTCCATCAGACAAAGACGCGTTTTCGCGCGCAAAGTAAAGTAAGGTCAGCTACAAAAGTGCCAAATACAAAATCGACCACATTAGTCAGAACATGAGATGACCATTTTCAAGTTCCTTCAAGGAAATCGGCCCAACGGACAGAAATTTTGCGAATGGATGCGAATGGACGATTGGTTTGTGTCCTTTTGAGGACCAGGTTGCCCACCTCTTAGAAGTCCTTTGGATTCCTTTGGTTATTGTCTCACTTTGTCTCACTTTGTCTCACTTTGTCTCACTTTGTCTCACTTTGTCTCACTTTGTCTCACTTTGTCTCACTTCGGCACCAAAGTGATGTCTGATGATGTTTGCTTTTGATGATTTTGATGGTCAGTTGTGTTGTTTTGCGCGCCTGAAGCCGATGCTGCACCACTTTAAACTTGCTGGCTCCAGCAGGGACCATTGGTTGATGCCTTGGGATGTGCCCATTGCATCACTGTGAGATCACACTGCATTGTCGCCATCCTCTTGTTTGAGAGTGACACCGCAAAAAAAAACGAACAAGACAAAATTGTTGCCAAACTTTTGAACTCATTTCGTATGATTTCATCATATCATGTCCCTCAGAATCCCTAAGATGCGAGCGTGCTCAATACAACGCTGTAGGAAGAACATCGCTGAAGGATACATGCGAGAGCATCCTGCATTTGGAAAGCGCTCAAGAGATGCTGGTGCCATTGCTTCACCGATTTCTTTGCCAAGTTGGCAGCCTTTTGCCGTTTGTCTTTGAAGAAAGCATATATTGAAATTAAAAGTCATTGGCTTTCGATTCATTTTGACTCACTCTTCTTCGAGGAAGCAGCTGCACATATCGCTTCAGCCTATTCTGTCCTGGAACTGCTGCTGTTGGACCAAATGATCACATTCGTCCAGCAAAAGAAGAATTCGGTGCCCTGAAGTCCACTCGAAACGTGCCTTGGATGCAGTGGATTCTGTCGGCAAGAAAAACAAGGGATAAAATTATTGATCAAATTATTGATTTTTCTGCACAGGGAGCATTCCGAAAAATCCCAGGCAAACGTGATAAAACGATCACGTCACTCCACTCTAAACTTTGATTCCAGGAATAAGCTGAGCATCAGCAAATGTTCAAAGAAGATCTGAATTTTGGCGCTTTGGAGAAACTATGAGAAACTAGATGGTCTGTGGCAGTCCATGGAGACTGCTTCATTCAAGATTTCAAGAAAATCGCATCCCGACACACCGCCCTACCCAGTGAGTCTGGTTGCATCGCAAAGGTCCTGAAGTACAATACAGTCGTCGATCAAATCGTCCAACAAACATGCCACTGTGGAAGGGTCCTGCTTCATGCTGAAATACCAAGATGTGCAGCAAGTACCAACTGCAGAAATATGCTGGTGTAATCTGAAAAGTGCATCAACCATGAATCATGTTCATTCAGTCATTCAGGGCATATCTCTACCCAAGGCCCGAACTGAGAGCGGATGAAATCCTCGTCTCACTGTGCATCACTGTGGTCATAGCAAATCCAGAGACAAGCTGCCATCCCTTCTTTGCAAAGCAAAGTCAATGGACCGCAAACTGAAAACACTGCAACAAAAAGAAGAACCCTAGAGCTGGAAAGGAAAGACACTGTACGACTGTCGCACTAGCTAGCTGCTAGCTCAAACACCCAAAAGGACAAGTTTTGCGCAATCCTGTCAGGATATGTCCGTCAAAAAAAGTGAAACGGCTTCATACAGCTTCTGTGATTTGTGTAAGTACAGTACCAGTCCGCAGCGGCCCCTGTTCACCATAAATCTGTGAATATACAAGTTGACTCTGCAAAAATCAGCAGCTGATCTGCAACAGTTGCAACCAGTGACATGCTGTTGCACCCCGGTGCAACCATCGAGAAAACTGGCGCATGTCAAAGGGTCGCAGTCCTTGCAGTGACACCGCGCCTGCAATCTGCGGCGTCGAGAGCTAGCACCTCTCACAATATCGGAGCGACCCAAGCGTTTTTGAACATTCACCATGAATTCGCAAGTGGTTCTGGCTGGAGAAAAAAAACATCCGTGGCTTGTGACTCGTGACTTGTGACCTGCCATCCTGGCACCGCGGCACCTTGGTGATTTCAGTTGGGATGTGGCGGGATGTCGTGGAGATGCGGGGCAAGTCGGAAACGAAGCACGTTCTGCTCAGGTCGGGGCTCGCGAATTGCCAACCGAATCGCAGCATTTGTTTTCTCGATCCAATCACCTCCCAAACACGAGTGTGGTACATCAACCTCATGACCTCTGTTTTTATGTGTAAACATAACAAAAACCACTCAAACACCACTGATTTCCCAGCCCAAGGCATTTGTTCAGAACATTAACCCAAAGCAACGTGTTTTTTTTTGTTTTACTGGTTTTGATCGAAAATTTGAAAACATGCCAATTGAGCAATTTGGGACATGGATGTCAAAACTCAAAAGATCTGCGCCTGCCCAGGACACTTGACTCAACGAGCGCAGCGGCACGGCCACGCAGCTGTGGCCCTCGGCTGTCATATGTTTGGTAGCTGAGAACATGCAGAAAATTACCACCCAGGGCAGCAATTGAGATGCTGTTGTGATATTGATGGCATTTGCTAATCTAATCTATATATATTAAATTGTTATATACTATAAAAAAAATATTTTTTCTATATTTTATTATTACAATATGACATGACATATTTAGTTTTCGAAAATTTGTTGAATCTGCCGAGTGTGGCCGAGCTGGGCACCAGCAGGGTGAAGTGGCGATGCACCGAGTCCAAAATGGCGCTTTTGCCGATGCCGAAGTCTTCGCCCACGGCACCGCAAACCTCAACACTTCACCATCGAACCCGCCAGAAATGGCATAGAAATTGGAAAAACACGCCATGCATTTCAAAATTTCAGTTCCATTGTGCAACTGTGCAGCCGCTCATTTGAACCCAGGGTTGTTAAACTGGACACGCGCAGTTTGTTCAGCTGCAAACGGTGAATTTTTCTCGATAGATTTAGGAAGATGGTTTGCCAAAGAGAAATAACCAACGTACATTGTCATCATCATCGCCATCATCATCTTCATCATCACATCATCATCAACGTACGTTGTCATCATCAGCATCATCAACGACAACATAAACTACAACATCAACATTGTCATCATCATCACCAACAACAACATCATCACCACCATCACCATCATCATCATTATCATCACCAGCATCACCAGCATCATCAGCATCAACAGCATTTTCATCTTCATCACCACCACCACCACCATCATCATCATCATCATCATGACCCATTATCACAACATCACACGCCTACGACTTCATGTGGTTTGTATGTCAGCATCATAATCATCATCATCATCACCATCACCATCACCACCATCACATTCGCATCACCACATGAGCAACAACGCAGCAACACATACACACATCTTCGCGAGGACGTCTAGAATATACGCAGGTGTGACGTATAGATGCCACATGTTAAAAGGCACCAACCACTTTTTTATACATGCAGCTGACATGCTGGTGTGTAGGTGCGGGTGTATAGATGCAGGTGTAAAAGACACCTACAACTTTCGATATGCAGGCCACATGCAGGTGGTGGGCTACAGGTGTATAGATGCGAGTGGACACAACCTTCTTGAAGACATATATTTCTAAGTTCGCTTCTTAAGGCAATGCCAGGTGCCTACGTCCAATCAAAGTAACAGCCCTCCATGCACTTAAGTCAACTCTATGTCCACCATGCTCTACTTAAGTCCAACCCAGCTTGACTTCAATTAAAAGCGCTTGTAGCCCAAGTACGAAGCAAGGGTAACCGATTTGCATGTGAGAAAAACTTTCAACCACGTTTTTCTTCAGTTTCGTCAAACGCACGTTTCATCAGTTTCGCATGATCAACGTCCATTTCGTGCGAGGGAATTACCGAACAATGCCCACCGCATGTTTTACCAGGACCCCCCGACTTTGCCTTTCTCTGCTTTCCAATGTTTCCTGATATTTCCCCACCTGCCAGGTGATGGTCTCTAGATCTTAGCAAAGGTGCTAGTTCTCCTTCACTCATTCCCTCACTCAGATAGCTCAATCTGGGCACGCACGGACCCGGACCCTATCGCAAGCTCCAGCTCAGCCTGAGCACGCACGGACCCGAACACATGCCAGATTGATGGTCAGAAAATATGTCAGATAGAATGCCAGATTTAACATCAGTATATATATATACCAGGCAGTTACTTCTGTCTAATGGAAGCCACTTAGACCCAAAGTGCCAAACGGTCACTTATAAGATCAATCATGCATAAGTGACCTCGTTTCATGAATCCTTAAGGGACCTCTTTGCCTGGCTGATCTCATGATTTCTGCGCGTCACTGCGTGTCACTTGCGCGTCACTGGGGTTTCGAGGTGGGATGAAACGAGGTCACTTAGGACCCTGAAAAGGTCACTTAAGGATTGGCTGTCTGCGTGTCACCTGCGTGTCACTTGCGTGTCACTGGTAGGCCACTGTTTGGTTCGTTTCCTTAAGTGACCTCTTTCTACGTTTTCCTTAACTGACCTCTTTCTAAAGGCCACTTAGCAGAAAACACAAACAAGGTCACAAGGAATCGTCTGGTATACATGTATTTATTTAAAAATATACATGTGTATGTATATATATATATAAATATCGAATATAACGTCGGATTGATTATCAGGCTATATGTCAGATATATATTTTTTGTTGTTAATCGCCCGAAGAAAGAATCATCTGATGATCATCTTGTTTTGCCCGACAGTTCACGCGAAGGGTTCCTTCCAAGAACGTCTGCCAAAGATCATCTCCATCATCACCCTCTTCCCCATTTTCATCCTCATCATCATCATCATCACCATCATCATCATCATCAAGACCTAATTACACATCTACAACCTCATAGATGCAGATGTACCGGTGCAGACGTATACGAAAAACAGGCGCACATCTACAACTCCATATATTATGCAGATGTATCAGATGTATGGGCGCAGGAGCATGGGTCTAGGTGAAAACACGGACAAGTGTGCACATGCAGCTGTAAAGATGCAGGTGTAGAGATCTAGGTGAAAACACCTACGCATCTACAACTGCAATTATATTGGCAGGTGTGGAGAGCAGGCGCGTAGTTCTAGGTGAAAACACCTACAACTGCATTTATGCAGCTGCATAGATCTAGGTAAAAACACCTACGCGTAAGCAGCAGGGCATTGTGTACGAAACCCACCCTTCTCCCACGAACCACGCAACCATGCCTCGATCGTCATTCGGCCGGTGCTCGGCGAACGCTTCCCGCACGAATTGCGCGTGGACCGTCCAAAACTGAGGTAAAATTGCGATTTGGTTTGTCCTGTACGAAACGCGCATTGGATCGCAAAACTAAAGTAGAAGCTGTGTAAAAGTGTCTGTGTGTAAAGGCTTGTGTGTGGTCAAAAGCTTTCTCCCTGTAAAGCTTCTGGGAGTAAATTTCTAGGTGTGTAAAAGCGTCTGCGCGTAACAGAACCGGGAGGGAAAGCTTGCATCTGTCTGTAGAAGGTCATCAGCAACACCATCAGCAAAATAATGACACCTTTTTCCTGCCAGGTGATGGTCGCTAGATTTCAACAAACACTGCCGGACACACATACACATGGACACACACGCACACAGACCAGTGCCAGTGAAAATTTAGATCGCATGTCCGATAATAGTTATATGTCAGGTAGAAGGCCAAATAGAACGCCAGATAAAATGTGAAAATACATGCCAGAAAGAACGCCAGATAGAATGTCAGAACATATGCCTGGTAGAACGCCGGAAACTTGTCAGAAAATATTTCAGATAGTATGTCAGAATGAATGTCAGATAAGATGTCCAGGAAAGAATGCCGGATAACATGCCATGCAAAAAAAAAAGTCAGAATACGTGCCAAATATAAAACCAGAATATATGGCACAATTTGTGTGTCAGACTGCAAGATAGAATGCCAGATGGAAAGTCAGATATAACGTCTGAAAAAATGTCAAACAGAATGACAAATAGAATGCCAGAGAAATGCCTAACAGGATGTCAGAGAATAAAATGCCAGAGAAAATGTCAGGCGGACTATAAATCTCAAATAGAATGTCAGATGTCAGACAAAATGCCAGATAGAATGCCAGAAAGAACGTCAAGTAAGTAGGATGTCAGATAGAATTCCAGACAGAATGTCCGATAGAACACCAAAAAAATGTCAGCTAGAATGCCAGATCACATTGAAAAAGAATGCAGCTGAACATGCCAGATGGAATGCACAATAGAACGTCAGGATCGACGTTAGATAGAATGTCTGAATTTCTGCGAGATAGAATGTCAGACGGAATGTCAAAATACATGTGAGATATAATGTCAGATAAGGCGCCAGATAGAATGCCACAGCAAAAATGTCAAGAATACGATGTGTCAGAATATTATTTGCCGCGGTGGGGACCACTTGAAGAAAGCATTTTGAACGTTACCAAATTTGTGTCACCCATGGCGGCTGATCATATCATTTCAATCCATGTCACATGAAATCACGTCATATATACAATCACGTCATACCACATCATGCCTACCACCAATCTTGAAACTGGTGTTGATCCGGTCGTGGCAAATATTTGCGCTTAACTTGCTTCAAGTGATGACTAGTGTTTCTGTGGCTATGAGTACTGTTTCTGTGGCCGTTGCATGGACGAGCGTGACCCCGAGATACGCAATGTGAGTTTGAGGGATGGATGGTCACTGCGATCTGGCTGTAATACAAGAAGGAAGGGAAAGGAAAGGTCCCGACGGTCGAACCACGCGCGACACATTTCACGAGGGGTCACATTTATTCTTTTTACCATAAGAGCTTTGATGGAGGGGCCTGCATGGATTTGGTTATATTTCTGTATGCTAACGAGTGAGAACAGGCAATGACAGGCTGGCAGGCGAAAGAAAAGTTGCAAATACGCCGTTCTACGAGCTCTGGGAGGCGGAAGTTGCATTCGTGAGGCAAAGTCTATTTAAGTCTATTTGCACGATCATCGGGGGCAACGGCAGCCAAGAGCTAGAAGGGAGACAGCTTGGGACAAGGCGGCAGCGACAGTTTTGAGGAAGCGGCCACAAACGAAAGTAAGCCTCCGTCCCAATGAGAAATAAGAACTCCTATAGCTGACGCAATCCGGAGAAATAACGAGTCTAGAGGTAACTTTGGAGGCGGCCGGCCCGAACCTCACGCACGAAATTCTGGCCAGGCGTTCGATAGATGTATGCCACTGAGTAGGCTCAAGCAACTCTCACACAGGGAATGCTTGTCGGATCGCTCTCCTTGTAGCTCGATGGTCATTTTGATATTCCTTGCGAACGCATCTTCGTTTTGAAATTTGCGCGTAAAAGCAGCTAGGTAGTTTTCGCATCACAAAGTTTGCACATTTGTTTTGTGCATGTGTGTGCGCGAGATTTTGCGTGGAACAGCGGCTGTGTGTGAAAATGCGGTGTAAAATAGAAAACGCAAGAACGTCTCTGTGTAAAAGTTCCCGTGTGTCAAGACCTTTTGTGCTCAAAATCGTCTGTATGTAAAGGCCTTATGTGTAAACTCATCTCTGTGTGAAAGCCTTTCTGCGCAAAAAAGCATCTGTGTGCGCAGGATGTTGTGCGTCAAAGGGTCTGTGTGTGACAATGCCTGTATGAAAAAGTTTTTGCACGTACGCAAACGCTTCTGTGTGCAAAAGCCCGGAAAAAGCAGCTGCCGCAGAAGCTTAGGGTGTAAAAGTGCCTGCATAGCAAAAAAAAAGTAAAACTCATTGTGTGCGTGTGTAGAAAGAAGCTTTCATGCGCAAGGCGTTGCCAAAACGTTTCTCTGTGCAAAGCCTTTCCGCGCAAAAGCGTTCGCGCGCACCACGTTTTTTCGTGTCAGAGTGTCTGTGTGTAAAAGCCTTTGTGCAAGGGAGCTGTGTGTAAAAGCTTATCAAGGCACGATCTCCTAGATACACCCTGCACACTAAAGTAGCTCAAAATAAACCCAAACCAAGTTTGAATTAATTGAAACCAACCCTAGATGAACACCAAAACAATCCTAAAAGAAACCCTGAAACAAACCTTAATCCACCCTCAAAAAACCTAAGCCAGCCCTAAATAGATCTTCAACAAAGCCTGAACCAACCCTCAATAGATGGCAAACCAACATTTCCTGCTAAGGCCCCTCAAAAGAGATGGTGTCACATTTCTCCTGAGTTGATTGACTCGCAAGTTGCCTGGCTGACTCAGGTCAACAGGGACGGGGGTCACACTCGCCCTTACCTGCAATCCTTTCAATTGAATCCTTTTAGGGTTTGACCTGGGGACAAGGGACATTTAGGGGGGACTTGGGGACATTCGTTGGAGGGACTTGGGGACATTGGTTAGGTCACTGGCCTTTCCAGTGAATAAGTCATCCAGAGCATCTTGGAAGTTGATTGAAATGGATGTTACAACGTAGCATCCAGAGCGTCTTGGAACTGACTTCAAATGGATGTTACAACATGGCATCCAGAGCGCCTTGGAGTTGCTTGAAACGGATGTTACAACGTTGCATCCACAGCATCTTGGAAGTTGCTTCACACGGCTGATACAACGTAGCACCCAGAGCGTCTTGGAACTGACTTCAAACGGATGTTACAGTGTAGGATCCAGAGCGTCCTGGATTTGCTTGAAATGGATGTTACAACGTTGCATCCACAGCGTTTTGGGAGTTACTTGAAATCGATGTTACAACGTAACACTTGAGAAAGACGTCGTAGCTGACTGCCACAGCTCTGGAAAGCGATCCTTTCGAGACTCTGAAACTATTGCGCCAGCCACGCAAAATGAGGTCGGGTCACATTCGCCCCTACCCTAGGGTCACGTTCGCCCCCTGTTTGCCTCCCGGCATTTCTGCCACGTTTCCGATCTTCTTGCTGTGAGGTGAGCAGCTCCTCGGTGCCGAGTTGTAGTTTGGAGTCCGGGACCTGCTTCACTTGGCTAACGTCCTTGAGGTAGTAACATTCCTTGCTTCGGGGAACTGGTGCACTTAGGTGATGCAAGGCGCAGTGCGCAGCTCTCTCTGCAAGCCCAGCACGTCGCGCATCAGAGACTAGATGGCACTCAGTTGATGCCAATGGAAAGTAGCGAAGTGTCGCCGGGCATACTGTCTGATCCGGGTATCAGAGAACTGGTTTCCGGTGCAAAGGGCCATGTAGTACATCCCAGCTTGCATATTCAACCGTGCATGTTCTCCCGAGTTCTTGTTGGCTGGCTCGCACGTATTTGTTGATGGACTCACGCGTATGTGTTGGCTGACTCACGTGGGTCTGGTGGCTTACTCGTGCTGGCTGACTCGCAACACTGTTGGCTGACACGGTCTACGCTCGGCAATTCAAGCATGCAACAAGCAAACAAAATGCCAAAAAAATGCTGTGACGTGGGTAGAAAAGAGTTGGGAGTTCATGCAAATCATGGATTTCGTGAGAAGGCCCTTGAAGGTGAATTAACATGAATTAACACCTTTTTTGCCAACCATTATGATGTGAGCCGAGCAACCACCACAGCCCGTCGCTGGTTGAGCTGTTGCAAAACAGACCACACGTCCAATTCGCGGCCAAGAAAATCCTGAAAACACTACCCGCAAAGTGCAATCGTGCTAAGTCAATTGTGCCCCTCTTCCTCTGAAAATACTCAAGTTCAAACGCAGTGCCGGTTTCTGGTCATTTCGAGTCGTTTCCGGCCGTTTCTGGATTTGTTTGAATCGTTTTCGAACTACCAGATTGCTCAGTCATCTCCTGGCGCATGCGTTTGAATTGTGGCTCCGCCTGCACCTTTATGCTCGGAGTCTCCAGAAGCTCTCGGAGGAAAACCGGAAAAAGACTTGGGAAAGCAATCCGGAAAACGAACAGCTGACATATGATATCATTTATAATAATATGTTATATCATTTATAACTATATGTTTGAACATGATGTTGCGTGTAATTCTTGAATGATGTCTTTGCAAGAGCGTGAGCTGGCGTGGACCACCACGACATGGTGTGGATGCAGCATTCGGATCTCACTTTGTGAGCGTCAGCATTCGGAGTGCAATTGCCATGGCAGGTGAGAAGTTCAGATCGCGCTGGCCACCTGATCCCAGGATATCAGAACAGACTTCAACGACATTGTCAAACTGATTTCAACTTATTTCAACTGATTTCAATTGATCCCAAGAAATGGTCAAGTTGACTCTGTCAAGCTGTTTAACGCAACGGTCCATAACCATGCTGACACGCACCTGCATGAGGAGGTCCTTGTCAACGGGGCCTGGGCCAGCCTGGGCCGAGTAAAACCATGGCCACGATCTGACTTGTTTTTGCCTATATAGGCGTGTTGGTGTCTTTATATGCTGGATGATGTTGGATGATGTAATGATATGTGCATTGCAATTCAGTGTGTATGTTGATCCTTTGTTTATCTGGTGCCTCCATCTTGGCCTCAGGTCTCTCTGCTCCAAACGAGCCTCGAGTTCACGGAACCCACAACGACAATCAAACCGTCTCAAGCTGCAATGTCCACGGCCAAAAAACAAATTGAAAAGGAAGGTCAAGAATCAATGCCAGCGTGAATGTTGGATCTTAGCCGATTAGTCTTGGTTCTGATTTTAGGACGTCATTCATTTCCAGATTTTCCAGTCGAACCTCTGTTCTTTTTCAAATTCTTCTTCCTTTTGATTCGTATCTCGTTTCTTCGCTCTTTTTCTAAGCTCCGTGCAAGGTGCGGGCACCGCATCAGCGGGCGTCAAATGCGGCGCCAGGGGCTGCACGTGCTGCGCAGGTAGCTGCGCCAGGTGCGTGTCTCGGGAAGGTCCCAGGCCTTGCCGCATGCTGGAAGTCTTAAGCAGCACTCAAGCTGTTTCCAATACAAGTGCATAAGTAACCTCAAGTAATCTGATTATCCTGTTTCAATATGGGTTTAGATGTGTCTACACAATAGTATGTGCTTAATATTGTTTAATACCTGAGCCTCGGAAGGATGCAAACAATTGTCCGTTCGCAACATTTCTGCAATTGAGCCGATTTCCCCGAAGGAACTTGAAAATGGTCATATCTGACTAGTGTGGTCAATTTTGCATTTGGCACCTTTTTGGCTGACCTCACTTTACTTTGCACGAAAAATGCATTGATCTCCCCAGACCGAAATACCCGGGAAAAGGTGGAAATGCCTTGGCAGAGTCAACGCGACTGGACAACTACACATTAAATGTGATGTTCCTGAAAATTGATGTTTGTGCCTACGGGTTGAAAACCGAACCAGCGTTTTGCATCTTTTTATGTCATTCATGGGGTTAACGGGGTGGGGTGGAGTGGGGTGGAGTGGGGTGGGGTGGGGTGGGATAATAACGTTCATTGGCACTTCCTCACATATATGATGCTACGTTATTGTGTGGGGTGGGGTGGGGTGGGGTGGGGTAATAACGTTCATTGCACTTCCTCACATATATGATGCTACGTTATTGTGTGGGGTGGGGTGGGGTGGGGTAATAACGTTCATTGGCACTTCCTCACATATATGATGCTACGCTGCTGTAATTCGTCTTGCACTTCTTCACATATATGATGCTACGCTGCTGTGATTCGTCTTGCACTTCTTCACATATATGAAGCTACGCTACTGTAATTCGTCTTGCACTTCCTCACAAACATGATGCTACGTTATTGTATGTCGTCTTGCACTTCTTCACATATATGATATGATGCTACGTTATTGTAATTCGTCTTGCACTTCCTCACATATATGATGCTACGCTGCTGTAATTCGTCTTGCACTTCTTCACATATATGATGCTACGCTGCTGTAATTCGTCTTGCACTTCTTCACATATATGAAGCTACGCTGCTGGAATTCGTCTTGCACTTCTTCACATATATGAAGCTACGCTGCTGTAATTCGTCTTGCACTTCTTCACATATATGAAGCTACGCTACTGTAATTCGTCTTGCACTTCCTCACAAACATGATGCTACGTTATTGTATGTCGTCTTGCACTTCTTCACATATATGATATGATGCTACGTTATTGTAATTCGTCTTGCACTTCCTCACATATATGATGCTACGCTACTGTAATTCGTCTTGCACTTCTTCACATATATGATGCTACGCTGCTGCAATTCGTGTTGCACTTCCTCACATATATGATGCTCACCATTGATGTCCATACGGGCACAATTGACATTGTTTGGCGGCTGATCAAAGGATCCTTGCCTAAGAATCTTCATACGAAGAGTGCTAGGAATCCAACCTTGCTCAATGGCAAGATTTGGACGCATGTTCGCGCTTCGCAGTGGCGATGGGAAAACAGTTCCCACAAAAACCTGTCCAAGCTCACTGCACAGATTGTCAAGAACACTTAGCGCAGAAAAAAAGAGAGTGCCGCTGAGGTTTTTTACATTTCCAGTCAAAAGTACGCGCGTACTTTTTAAGGAAATTGCACTTTCAGGGAAATGCAAAAAAACTGTGATTTGTGGTATAAAATCAATGTCGAACACTGCAAACGTTGAAAACGCGGGTTCGATAAACAACCCGCCGGGATGTTTGTAGTTTGACATGGACAAATCTAAATTTATTGGACGGAAAATACCAAAACCTGCCCTGAACAGAAATGTATAACCAATTCATATCCAGGTGTGTCTTGTTTGCTTTACATTCACCTTCTCCCTTCCAAAAGCGCAACACTCAAAAACTGGCAAATACCCAAAGTGCCCACTCTGCACCTGGCAGAAAATCCGTTGCTGATTTCCATTACTGCTTGCAGATTGGCATAGTTAAGTGATCAAAAGCATGGCCACTCCGAAACCACGGTCTGCACAACTCTGTTCCCAATCTGGGAGCTTAGCTAGCATCATTGCTTGCATCCATTGCGTGACCTTAAATGGCTGGGGCGTGTTGGAACTGGCGCATGCTGACTCCAATTTCGAAAGTCACACTGTTTACGACTTCCCAGAGATCTCAATCCTGTTCCTGGGAGGTCTCACCTTCCTGAGACTTCCCATCATCGTCATCATCATTATCACCCTTTTCTTCCTCTGTCTTGTTTCTTTTGTTTCCTTTTCTCCCTTTCCCAAGTTAAGTGAAGAAGTCTCAGAGTCTTCTCTGAGGTGCCCCACGGTATGCTTGCCAATCACTGGGAGCTGGCCCCACTTCCTCCTCAGGTGTTTCGTTTCTCATAGCCGTCATAGCCCCTTGCCCTCGTTTCTATCCTGTTCTTTCAAAAACAAATGTCTCGTTGCCGGGAGTTCAATCATGTCACCGTGTCATTATTTTCGTCGGTCATCGTCGGTCCAAAGACTGGTGGTTTCCAGTGGGGTGCAGGGTCCTCGGCGTCTGCGAAACCACACCAGTCATCTCCGAGCGCCATGACCTGTGCAACGAAAGTGCACCGTGCTAAGCGTGATCAGTGAATGATGTCTCAGCAAAGAAGCAAGCACTTCATGATCATACATTACATTTACCTTACGTTTAATACATGAAGTGTATACCGTATACCAGTGCATGTATCACTTGCATATCGTGTACGTTTGAACTCTTGCGTGCAATCCTGTCAATGTACCAAATCCGTTCGCACATTGTCGAATTTCATGAAGATTTCTAGGAACAGTTCTGCTGCAACATTCCAGACTGGTCATGACGATTCAGCGCCTGTTCGTGGGCGGTGCTTATCGCGTGATGTGAACACGCCTTCAGCGCCCAGCAGAGACTTGATTGATCAGTTTTTCTGAAGCAAAACGTTTTCATATATCAAAATTATGTCGGTTTTTGCTTTGGCTTTCAGCCATGAAAGGCCTGGCATTGAAAGGTCAAAGAGGTGAAGATGGCGGCCATGAACTCCAAAACTGCTTGCGCTCCTTCCCCAAAGTCATGGCCTTGCTACAACTTGATTCTTTCCACCGAAATCACTACAGTGCCACTACATATGGTGAATTGTAGCACTTTTTCACATGCCAAGTTCGGGTCACAAAGAAGGAAACTAGACTTGGAAACAGCAAACGTGAGGTCCAAAAACGCTGAGAAAATGCGATCTATTGGCAAACAGAGTTGCAAACCTCTCACTCTGAAGACTCCTCTCTTGTTTGCAAGAGATCAGAGTGAGATCAGATTGGTTGTCGCGTGGCCTTTTTGCTTCAGTCTGCTCCGACATGCTGAGCATCCTGACCCATGTCAACGAAGGCCTGCATGCGAAGGGGAAGGAACCAAGATTCGAATATCAAAAAGTCACAAGGAACATCAAAATATTTCAAGGATCACAAGTCTTGAAGGCATATTTTGAAATAATCTCTGCCTGACCACAAGTAGGTGGCTGAGCATTTGCAGAGAACTCATGGCCATTGGGTGCCTAAATGTGTGGCACAGCAGTGATCGACATATGTCGATACTTTGAGGCATGACAAAAGTGCTTTCCGGTGGTTTGGCTGTTTGGCCTTGTGAATCTCACTAATGACTGAAACAGTGGCACAACAAACACAAGTAAAAGCAGAGATGTCAATTTGTTCAGGTCACCGTTGGAAGATACAACTTGACTTTGTTTTGTTCACCTGTGGAATGTCAAGAGCATCTTCCACCTGCGGAAGAGATGTATGTCCACCGGCAGCCAACTGCTGCCGCATGTAGGTAGGCACCTGGCATTCCCAGTATTTCCCAGTCAAGTCGGATATGTCGGATGTGATTCTGACATCTTTCTGGCATTCACATTGAGAACTGCACCCAGCGGCCCTCAACCGTTCGATTTACCGCTGTGGCCTGCAGTTGAGTCTTTGGCACAGGTGTGCAATTGAAGGGCTGTGCAACCATGCACAATGTAGGTCGGTATAAGTTACAAGGATGCCAAGTGTAATATGCAAAAAGGGCACAAAAGCAAATAATTTGGACATGTTGATGCAGAAGCTCTTTGTCTCAGGGTGGCACCGTATGTTCTGCCGAGAGGTCTGGGGCTTGGGCCACTGGGGCCTCATGAAGCGCCCGTGCTTTTTGTCTCGGCATGAAGCGCTGGAGAAAACTTGTTTTGGATAAAACTTTATTCAAAGATATTCAAAGTTTTTATTCATTCAATGCAATTCTTCTTCCTCCCCGCAAATGTTGGCACTGACAAAGACCCCCTGTTCACTCCCAGGCACCTGGACCTCAGTCTCTGTCTCCACGGGGACTTGCAAACAATCCACCCGCGAAGTCACCTGGCTGTGTTTTTGGTACCAAGCACGTGGCAAGCGCTTGGCAACCGCTTGGAATCCATCGACTGCACACTGTCAAAGTGAGTCAATGTAACTCAACGTAAGCGGTGCACCTGTTCTGGCAGCATTTTGCAAACCGTCTCGAAAATTGAATCATCTTTGGGCCTCGGCTACTGCATTGCTGCAATTGCTGCCTACAATTTCCTTCCAGTTCATTCTGAACAGTCTGAATTTCAACGAAAGTTCGCACTGCCAATGGACGTTTCCTCAAGTATCTGTTGATGAAGAACGATTCTCAAGAAATCTCTCTGGGTCTGTGGGCTTCGGTGCGCCAAAGAGGTCGTCAGAGCCAAAGCCTGGGAAATGTTGCGTTGGATCGAAAATTCTTGATGATCCTAGAATCCCAAAGATCCTAGATGATATCCCAAAGATGCTTCAGATATCTTCACATGTATCATCTCTATCTGTTGAACACATGATGCTCATGGCAGAAAAATCCGAAAACTCTGATGTCAGTATTTCTTCATCATCCTATTCCTATTCACTCCATTCGCCATTTCCATTTTTCTCCCATCTTGCTGTCCTTTGGCATTGGCCGGGATACGCTTCATGGCCTCATAGTGTCAACCGATCCGAGAGCAAACTCCTCCACATTCTGAAGCCGTCTTTGACAAAACGAGTGCGAGACAGGTTTGTCAAAACATTCAAAATCTGTCAGAACGATAGCTCTTTCATGAGAAACCTGTCAAAAAGACAAAAAATATATTGCTTTTGTGTTTCGCTTTTTAAAGGGAAGACTTTGACAGCCTTGCCAGGTTGAGACTCCAACCGCTTGTCCGTCCACAGCTGGACGAGGCCGGGGAGGAGCTGGTGCGACTGGTGCGGCTGGTGCTGGTGCAGCATCAGCCTGCCAAAAATCCGTTTTTCTCCACACGCTCCACATGCTCTCCGTCTCTGCCAAACAACTTGCGTCTACTATAATTATGTTATTGGCTTGATGTTTTTTTTTAAACTTCAGTCTTGACCAGTTGCATTTTTAACTGAGAATCTGAGAGAGAAAACAAGCCATAGTATCGAACCAATACTGTATTGATGCAAAACTTCTCCTAAATTTAAACTTCTACACCTAAATCGAAAATGCTTGGTGACCTGGTCTTTTTCGACGCAAAGCAGTGCAAGGTCTGCATAGCCGTGCCTTCTCGCGAGATGCCTGTGACAGGTCCACGACCTGATGAAACCATGGGCATTCGTCAAATTCTTTTGCTGGGATGAGGCAAAAACATCTAAAACCACAACACTAAAGCACAATCTCATTAAATCATGGTGAAACATCTAATGAAGTGAGGTATGTGAAGATTGTGAAGCATCTGCTAAGGTATGTTCAAGCGGTTTGTGCGAGACTGTGCAAGTATGAGACTTGATCCAAGACATGGCATAGGCAAACATGTTCACTAAAACTGGGACATAAAAAACTGTTCCGAGTTCCGAGTGATGCATTCTTTAGCACCAGCCGCGCTTTCCATGGGTTCTTGGGCCGTTTCATGACCAGCAAACTTAGCAAACTCAGCAATCCTGAGAACTTGGCCGCATTTGAGCTCACTGTGGCCTTGGGAGCTCACAATTTGAGGTAACTTTAGTATAGTTTCGTAACTACTATGTCTCATGTCATATGTTGTAACATGTTGTAATATCTATATCTTGCACAGCCGGGATCTGCTGAGATCAGCTGAACAGTTCAGTTCCGTTGTGGTTCTGTTGTGATTCTGCGGTGCAGATTTGACCTGTGCTGTCCGTGTCGCTCTTTGCTCTGTGTCGCTTGAGGTGGCCACTGGCGCAGGCCCTCCCTGGCAGCGTTTCTGTAAGATAGTCCGGGCAGAAGAGAGATAAAACAGATGAAATGAAAGTGAAACAAAATCGAAACATCTTGACAGTGATACTGCAAAGAGTGAGAGCAGCACAGAGTGATACTGCTGGGTTTCTATATCTGAACTATTGATACAGAGCCTTAGGATATGGCTCACGAGGAAGGACAACATGATACCCACAGAGCAACAGCAAAATCATATTATCAGCGCCACGCATATGTTTCGACGCATGGCCAATGCAAAGCAAGAAACATCACATTCCTCCGAGCAAAATAGACGTCTCGTATTGCTTCCTGATGGATTCCGTGAAATTGAATGCCTAGAGGTGGCATAAAGATCTGTTACTGAAGATCTGTGCGTTTGTGATGTGTTTGTGATGTGTTTGTGATGTGTTTGTGATGTGTTTGTGATGTGTTTGTGATGTTTGGTGCGCATAGCTGGTTGTTGTGGTTGTTGTGGTTGTTGCTGTCTTGCAGTAATTCAGCCAGCGGCTCCATCCCCAGCAGATCTCCAAGTTCCCCGAGTTCATGCTCGGGCTCGAAGTCAGGTGTCGCTTCCTGTCAGAAACCGATGACAGCGGATGACAGCGATGAGAATCGAATAGAATCGACATCTTTGAAACATATATAGCATATATTATATAGATATACATATACAGCGGTCTGCTTCGCACACATGTAGGTGGTCTTCTCCTTGGAACACTGGTGTTCTCTGTGCATCTCAGATCTGCTTCTTGCAAATCACCAGCAAGAACGAGAACAAAAGACTGTGTGCATCCGTTGCCATGCTCGAAATGGACACAACTAAGAAACATGTCTCCAAAGTTAGGGAGCAAAAGTGCGTCATAAGAAAGAAGAGGTAAGAAAAGAAAAAAGAGACGTGACGTGAAGAGACATGTCATAATTAAGAAAGCTTCTGTCCTAATTTTGTCTTGTCGCAGAAACACTGCCAAACATTGGGACCTCCACTGCCGTTCTCAGACCAGGATCCTCAAAAGGCCTGCGCCAAGCCGCCAATCTATGTGACACCGTGCTTCGGCACCACAGATTCCCACAGATATCAAGACATATCAAGACAAGTGTCAAACGAGCAACCAATGACAACATCGGGACACAAGCACACTCTCTCCATCTCAGTCCATCTCCGTCACTGCTCGACCTGTACACATCTTCAAGGTCCGGTGGCGGCGGAGGTTTCTCCATCTCCATGGTGTCACAACACGCCCTGCTCTGTACAAAGCGTAGAGGGAAATTCCAAATGGCATAGATTCTTAGATGACAGGTAAATGACTCAATGACATGTAAACGTGTTGTGACATGGCAACCATTGGCAGCCTAATACCTTGTCACCTTGTCACCTTTCCAAGTCAATGCAAGCTTTGTCATTCACACTTTGTCATACTTTCTCATACTTTGTCAGCACTTGACTGTTTGTGTGAGCCAGGGCTGCAGATTCAAAGTGGGATCGAATGCATCGAATCAAAGTGAGACCAAGTCGGATAAGCAAACGGCCTGGATCATTCGTGAATCTGATGTTAGCAAGGCAAAAGGATTCACAACTTATCCATGTGGATCCACATGGTATCATAGCAGTGTCCTCTGGCAGAGATGGTAGTGCGCGCCAGCACAAAGAAGGCTGAACCTGCCAGATCCAAGCCACACCGACGCAGGTGCGAGTCTTGCGCTGTCTTCAGAACTGAAAACCGCACTCATCCCGCACTCTCAAAAAATATATCCTGCCTGGGGACAGGTTTTGGCTCGCCTGCAACGCAAAGCAGCTATTCAATGCAACTGCTTCATCGCTCCTATGTTTGCAAACTGCAAACGTCTTTAAATCATCGAGATGGTTACTTGTGGACTTGGAGCTGTCTGTTAGAAGATCAAATAGCTCAGTGGGTCGCCACAGCTCTGAAAAGATACGCAGACTGATATTTTGAAGATTTTCGTCCAAGCCCTTTCCGCCTCGGTCTCCGCCTCCAACGCAGACGTCCCTGCAAGGCCAGATGTGACATGTCAGAGTCAACATCAGGATGCCACGTTTGGGTTCGATGTTGGCTCCCCTAACCCCAATCTAAGATTTCCCCCATTCGGAACATTCGGGAACAACAATCTCATCGATTGAATCGGGAAGGATGATGGGAACTGATGGAAGCTGCTCAAGCTTGAGAATCGAATGTATTGCACCGCTGCACCTCACTGGAATCCGAGTCGTAGTCCATGGCCTTTGGGAGGAACAGCACTTCCTCGTGGCCTCGCGTGCAACTTGCAATGGTCCAGAATCCATTCTTCTGACTTGCCTAGTCATTTCTTTGCGACATTGATTAAATGATGAAATCTCGAATAAGTATAAAATTACTCTAAATGACAACAATATTGATTATATAATGACCATCAACGCATATCTTTCCAGTATCTTCTGCAGATATCTGCAGTTTCGGCACGGGTGGTCGGGTGCCTTGGGTTTCGGGCAGCAGCCGGAAGTGCTGCGAGGCCGCCTGCAGCTGTCCCTCCGAGTGGCTGCGCAGCGCCACGACGGCCTCGTTGAAGCTGCGCTGCACAGAGAAGCCCTGGAACAAAAAGCCGTAGAAATTCCGCACAAACACCGTGGACGCCGAGTCCTGCCGCATCTTTTGAACATGTCTAGTTGGTCTTGAACAGTGCAATATATATATATCTCAATATGATGCAATATATATCAATATGATGCAATATATATAAATATGATGCAAGAAAACACGTTTGAAAAGCATGGTGAAGGCCAAGTCCTTCAGGTCGCAGGAACAGCACACCACATGAGGAACTCCCGCAGCCACGAATTCGTATCCCATACTCGATAGGGAGCAGCAGTTCAGCAGCACCAGACGGGTGGATGAACCAGCCAACTCCAACATGCCCCGGAGCATCGAACAACCTCAATGGAAAATGCTGCAACGTGATGGAACCAATGCTGCAATGTTCGAAGGTGATTGGTTTTCAAATCACATCACCACATCACTACCCTGGACCAATGAGACACCTTGAGTCTTGGAATGTCTTGGAGGCACCCTGCATGCCATGAGACACCAGCGGCCTAGAAACTGAAGAAATGGGCAGTGCCTCCTCCATCTTCGAGTACCAAGCAGTTTTTCACCCCGTGGCTGCTGAGATGCAGCACACCTGGGTGCCAGGTTGTGATAGCACCTCAGATTGACAGGTGTACACCGGTCAGGACAAGGGTATACAAACAGAAAGATTTCAGTCAATATCACACTATACAAAAAAAGACACCCCCATCACCACTGTGATGATCACTTGATTCAATATGTAATGTACAAGATATTTATAATATATATATATATATATTATATTATACTATGTATCATTAAGAAATTGAGAAAAGGAAACTTGCAACTTTTTGTGCATGGCACGTTGAAGACTTCCAGCTGTCAACGTCTGTGCACTGATGGATACCCCAGGCGAAGATGAAGATGTCCGTGCGAGAATGTGAGCTGCTTCGTTGTACGCACCTAACACCGTTTCCCACTCCTTCTCAACGGGGATCTGCGGCAAGGGTATCATACCACGACCATCACGAAAACACAAGGGAGATGCATAGAGGAGCATCATGTGTTCAGAGTCACTTGGACGGGTGTCACAGCGCTCTGAACGTTCTAACAGAAACTTCGAGTGATTCGAGTCAGTCTCATCTTCAGCCTCTGAGACAGTGGTCGAAGGTAGGGTTGAAAGCGGATCTGAAATTGATGGTTCGGAGTGTGGCTCATCATGAGGTTCTCGTTCAGGTTCTGAGATAGTGCGATCGGAAACACTAAGGGTGGGACTGAGACTGCGCTGCTGGGCTTGGGAGCTTCCGCTTGCGCTCGATGCAGCCGATGAGGCCGATGCAGCTGCTTGGCAACTTGTTGCACTCGTTGCACTGGGTCGTCTGGAATTGGCCCGAGCATCGTTTCCATCGTTTCTCTGCTCATCTCCAACCACTGCCGTTCCAGCCGTTCCGGCTGTTCCAGTGCGACACACCTCACGACACACCTCACGGGCCTCACGACACACCTCACGTGCCTCACGTGCCTCACGTGCCTCACGTGTCTCACGTGTTTCACATGTTTCACGTATCTCCCGTGTCTCGCTTTCCTGGCTCTCTCTGCCATGTTCTGGGTGCTCCCACCAGGTCTCAGCGTCTTCTCATGAAATGGGCAATCGATCATAGTTGTACTCTAAATCATTGGCCCTGATCCCTTTGCAACATTGGAAGATGGCAAACTTGTTGAACTTCAGGACCAAAAGAACTGCTGCCAGCAAAGCCCCAAGACAAGTCTTCAAGGGCATTCCCAACTCAGATCTGCGTCCTGGCCAAGGACTCAAGAAATGGGGGTCTTCGGGACGACCCCAAGGCTTCTCAAATTCAGATGCGTTGGGTGTCGAAGCACCTGAACTAGATGTCGCACCGAATGCACTTGGTATCTGACTCTTGTGAGCTGTTGCCACACCTGAGACACCAAAGACTTTCTCAACATTCTCAACTTTCTCTGTCTCCTTGTCCATCGCGATCTCTTTGCTTGGCTTCACCGTCCTGGAGAACATATAAATTGGAGGTATTCGCTCAATCTCATTCTGCTCATTCTGCTCATTCTGCACGTGCATCTGCACAGAGGTAGTGAACTCGTTCTTGGGCAGTTCGTGCTCGAGCTGCTCCACTGTCTCTGACAACGACACCGTGGACACCGTGGACGCCGTGGAAGCTCGCAGCCTGGGTGGACCATCCAGGCTGACCGTGTTCACGCTGTGGGTGACGCTGTTCACGCTCTGAAGCGTCACCCCCAGGGCGCGGGCGGTGGTAGCACCGGCCGTCTCGGAGGCAGCATCCGCAGTGCCCGCAGTGTCCGCAGTGCCGCCAGTGGCCCGGTGTGACACCTGGGACACGTCGTGGGACACGTCGTGGGACATGACGTGGGACACGTCGTGGGACACGAGGCTGGACACTTGGCTGATGCTCAAAGTTTTTTGAAGGACCAGGACCTCTGAGATCCAAATGTCCGAAATATTCGATGCATTCGAAGCATTCGAAGCGGATTCAGTGGAGCGGTCTGAGTGGTCTGGGCCGTGACCGTTGTCTCGTGGCCCTTCCCATGCCACCGCGACAGCAAAGGCCACTTGCTGGACAGGCACGACAACTCGGAAGCTGCCAGACGCGATGGCTCGCCTAGGACAAACTTTCAGGAGCGTTTGCAGAGTTGAAGAGGTTGCATGGAATAAATCCAAAGAATGTTCCCGCCAGAAGAGGAATGTTGCATATTGTTGTCCTTGCACATTAAACCGTCTGGTTCTAGTGTTGTTCTTGGGAATCTGGTGGTAAAACCCTTTCCTTTAGGAGCCTAAAACCTGAAGACTCATGAGAAGCACATGACGAGCTTGGCAACCTGAGACCAGCGTCACCTAGATTCTCCTAGTTTCAGAACCTTGAGAACCCTAGAACGCTACAGATCTGTTCTAGACCTCTTCTGGCGTGGGGAGAAGGACATGAGGAAGAGGGAATGCAGGTTCAGAATCTTACAAGGTAATCCAAAGTAGCACAATGCAAACAGATACAAAGTTGCTGTGTACTCGATGCGTCGCATGACTTGAATCTTGTTGAATCTTGCTGAATGGCTAATACGGCTAATATCACGTGTCGAGCAGTGGCTGCTAGCGGCACAATCTGTTCGACTAGACACCGAGAAAATTGAGATCGGGTGCTGCAGAGTGCTGCAGAATCCCGCTGAGGTCCGCGCTCTGGATCCCACTTCCAGCGTTTCGTCGGAGGCCCCAGGTCCTCACGGCCTGCCGGAGCTCAGATCTCAGATACGGATCTGGGGTCAGCGGTACAAAGAAGATCAAACATGATCAAACAAGCACATCTTTGGAAAGCCTTTGGAAAGTCTTTGGAAGGTCTTTGGAAAGTTTGAAAAAAGTGAAGCGTTTGAAACTGTCGAAGTCTCACTCTCGATTCTGTGCCTGAAGCCTTCTGCCAGAGGGACACCATGAGAAGGCGGCCAGCACCTCAAACGGAGGTGACTCGACGATTTCGGATTCAATGAAGTCAAGACACAAGTTACACAAGATTGCAAAAATGGCAAACACGAGCCACAAAATTGCGTGGATATATTATTATATTATATATACCTAGTAAACCTCAAACCTAACTTTTCTTAGGGTTTGGGACCAAACCTCGGGTATCTGAAAAATTTAATGAAAACCTCGGGTATAGTGTAAAAACCTCGGGTTTCCACCATCTCGCTCACTAAGGCCATGTTTAGCAAGCCTGGATGCTTGCCATTGGCTCTTTGATCCCTAGATCAACATGCCGAACAAAAAACAAGGCGTGATCTAATGGAAAAAATCAGAATGGATTGAGCCCACTTGGGCAAAACCAAGTGAATGATACTGAATTATGGCTACCAACATTTCATAGAGGGGACCTGAACCACAAGACATCCCACCAGCATGCGCCCCATCGTTGATTCCATTTCCTTTTTATTTCCAGCCATGGCATCATGATGATCCTCTATGCCCCGCTGGGATCTCAGCAAGTCCTGCGGCAAGAGGCTTAACCCTTGATTGAAAAGTGCCCCCCAAAAAACTGAATGGATGAAAAGAAACATAAGTTGATAAACTCAGGGAAGATTCAGTGGTGGCTGCTGGGTTTGGGAAACCATGATGCTGATCCTCGCTGCTTTCGGCTAATCAGGCATTTTATCCCTAACTTGTGGTGGTGCCTCTTGTGCGCCATGGCGCCCGGGTCATCAGAGGAGAGCCTTGGGAGTCGATTAGATTTGACATCCTTGGCCCAAGAATGGGATTCAGATCCTGAGCTTCGAGGGAGGTGGAGGGACGGTGGGTCATTCCTTCATCCTGACACCCCTGCGGGTGAGGACATCAAGGGATGTTGCCTGAACAGGATGTTGCTTGTCCCATTACTCACTAGGATGGCTGTTTCTGAAAAGAGGGTTCTTCCCAGCATCCACGATCTTCATGCAGCTGTGGAATCCGCTTTGACCCTCAACAAAAGGCCACCAAAACCAGAAGACTATGAAGGTTTGATGGCAGTCGCTTGGAGGGTGCGCTTCATGGCTGGATTTGTGAAAATGAAAGTGCGAAGAAGCGAAGTGTCCCAGGTGTCTTGTTTTGAAAAGACCACACTTTGCACGCACATAATGTTTCATGTCAAAACGATCCCCGTTCGAATTTCCCTTACAGAATGGAAGGGGTCGGCCCCACTATAAATGGTTTATATATATATATATATATAGGCATTTTGTAGTTACAATGATCCCCCTAACCAGGGCATTTTGTAACAGGGCACCCAAAAGGCAAAGTTGTAGATTTTCAAGTGTTCATTTTGTAAGAGTTTTGAGGTGCCAAGTCATTTCATAAGACCATCGAGTTTGTCTGTTTCCCCACCTGCCAGGTGAGGGTTGTTAGATTTTATCAGACTTGTTCTCCTCCTCGGCTAGCTGTCCTCCTCCTCCTCCTCGTCCTCCTCCTCCAGTTTCTCCTCGACCATGTCTGCATCAACTTCCACCTCCACTTCCGCCTTGCCAACTCGTCGCCAAGCTCTTTGCCAACTTCCCAGCTCAGTGTGCACCGCTGGACCTCAACCTGGGACCTTCCCAGCTCAGTGCGCACCGCTGGACCTCAACCTCGGACGTTCCCAGCTCAGTGCGCACCGCTGGACCTCAACCTGGGGCCTTCCGAGCTCAGTGCGCACCGCTGGACCTCAACCTGGGACCTTCCCAGCTCAGTGCGCACCGCTGGACCTCAACCTGGGACCCTCCCAGCTCAGTGCGCACCGCTGGACCTCAACCTGGGACCTTCCGAGCTCAGTGAGCACCGCTGGACCTCAACCTGGCTCAGTCAACCTCCTTGAAGAGGTGAGCCTCAACTCAGGTCTCCTTGGGGGTGGTCGTGGTTAACCCCCCGGCGTGGTGGTGCCTGGTGCCTTGAGGTGGAGGTGAACCTCAGCTAAGGTGTCTCCTTGGGGGTGGTTGTGGTTAACCCCCCGGCGTGGTGGTGCCTGGTGCCTTGAGGTGGAGGTGAACCTCAACTGGCTCCCCTGAGCGGGGCATGGTTGACGACAGCGAGTTTCATCCATGTGAAGTCACGTTTTGGGTGTTGTGTGCGAGATGATCACGCGCGACATATGGCATGAATTTTTAAAGCGTGTTTTGGCTTCATAAATGCCAGAAGATATGCCAGCTAGAACGCTAGATAGCATGTCCGATAGAATGCCAGAAGATATGCCAGGTAGAATGCCAGAAGATATGCCAGATAGAATGCCAGAAGATATGCCAGATAGAATGCCAGAAGATTTGTCAGTAACAAAACGTATAAATGTCATGGTGGGGATCACTCGAAGTAAAGTAATTGATGCTTTTTGTAAGCTCAAGATGTTGTTATTGAACATCAAAAAACAAAAAAGAATTCAGCAGGGTGTGCAATGACATTTTGTAAGGAGATGTCGTCAAGAGTAGAAGATCCTTTTTGTAAGAATATATGCTTTTTAGGCATTGATACAAAGTATGGCACAGTTCAAGTTTTAGGGCAGCCATGGCAGCAATTTTGAATTAAATTTGGATTTGGCGGAGGCACCAACTTTCTTCTTGGTGTTGTGTTGGCCAAGGATGGCCAAGGATCTTTTGCAAGTTGTAAGTGTGACGACGTTCACGGCTATCTTATGTTTTCATTTTGTACATGTTTTTTCGTGTTCAATTTTTACTTTTTTTAAAAAAACTCATGTGATAACACAAACGCGAGACATCATGAGAGGAGTTCTGGTAGGCAATGAGGCCAAAGAAACAAACATACAAAAACATAAAACAACATAAAAGGTGGCATAAAATGGAATCCTTACAGAAAGGCTGCTTGAAAATCAACGAGTCCGGGAAAACCAGAAACAGGGAACCAGAAGTTGTTTCCTTACAAAATGATGCCCGAAAACGCTATTTAAAATCACAACTTCTTATAAAAAGATATAAAAAGGTCATCGAGTAGGATGCAACTTTCATATCATGAAGAAAGTCGTCGCCTTATAAAATGGTATAGGTGTTTGAAGTCGAATGTGGGTGCTAAAAACCTATGCTTTTTGTAAGGGCCAAAATTCCCAAAAAACAATTCTTTTTATAGGGTTTTTGGAAGTCCCCTGGAATTATCTTACAAGAAGCCGGGTGCGACGTCTCCCCCCTAATTCGATCGGGTATTCAAAACGGGATTTCACCGTTGAAACTTGCAACATGGATTTAGCAACCCCCTATGTCCTGTCCTGTCCTGGTAGGGATAAATGGGTCCATCCGAGGTGGAAGATTTCCAGCAGCTGTGTCTTCTACTTGAGCCGACCTTGGAGGATTGTGTTCCACGGATGTCTCAGCAGATATATGTTTTATATATCGTATAAATCATTTCTTCATCGAGAATCCTGTTATCAACCAGATTTGAATATAGCCGTTTTACTGTACTATATGGAATCTTCCAAAAGGTGTTTGCTATTAAGACAACTGTATAAACATATCACTGGCCTTATAGCTAAGCAAGTTTGTTGACTTTCGGTGGCCATGCCCTTTAATGCCTGAAAGAAATTGGCGGCATCAAAATTCTTGGTTGATCATAGGCCGTCCTTTTTTGGGTTGCCCGGCCTGCTACGCATGCAGGAGACAGTCAACAATGTCAATGCCAAGCTGGAAGCGAAACGCCAGGCTAAGGAGGCCAATCAACGATTGTTTCCAGCTTATTCCCCGGGGACATGGAATGATTCATGTTCACAGGGTCTTTTGTTTTGATGGTTCAAGGTGCAAACAACACTCAGGAACCGTGCCTTGAATGAACCGTGCCTTAAAAGTAGAGTATACATCTTTTACATAGACTATGAGCAGGAAACTGGTTCTATGTTTGCTTCTTTGGGTCAGGGTTTATGGTATGATTTCAATTTATGGTTTAAAGAGACATCGCCGAATCTTTGAATGTCGTCCTTTCAAGTCTTCTCTTTTTGCATATGGTAAGTTATCTGCACGAACATTACTTTATTGAATGGACATGCGACCAAACCTTGACACTACAGTCTTGACCTGTATAGTATATGCTAGGCCCCCATTCGTCCCATGGACCTTGACCCAACATCACCCTTCCTTGCCAGGCGACCCGTCTTGCTGCCCTTGAAGCTGAGCAGGAAGAGGACGAGTATGATGATGGACCTAGCGGTTCCGGCTTGGACCACAGAGAGGAGTGCTTGGAGGAGGAGAATGGTGAGAGTGGGCCTGGGGTTGAACAAGAACAAAGCCCATCGAATGAGCCAACCCCAAAGGCAAGCGGTTCTGAAACAGGTGAATGTAAGCAGGAGACATCAAACCCACCACCTACAAATAGCACTTTGGGTGCTCCTTCCAGTTCTTCGACGACCCCTGCAATGCCACCACCTACGGGTACTTTGTCAGAAATAATATAAAAGGAGTTGATTGGTATGGAGCCCCTTGTTGTCAAACCGGTTGTTTTGGATGGTGGGCTGCTTATCTTCTGGAAACTTGTGTCATTTGCAGTGCCATGCTGCTTCATCCAAGGGTCCAAAGCTGAATTGGAAGCACGACGGGAAAAGGTGAGACAGAAGCTGGAAGAGCCTCTCATCTTTACAGTCTTTACTGTTTATATATATATAATATATATATATACATAACATTCAACACATATAGGTCAAGCAATATATTTCACAAATCCACGAATGCCTGATTCTCATTAGTTCAACAAGATGTGATTTGTTTGGCATTTGGCCTTTAGTTTTCAGAGCTGTACCTGGGATATCTGAAGGTATGCCTTTTCCCTGCTGATATTCTCTGAATAGAGACCATGATGGACCTAGGCTGAAGAAGAAGAAAGCAGAGGAGACTACCAACTCGAGCCCTCCTGTAACCTCGAAAGGCACCATCCCATCTGATCAGTATTGCTTGAGAAAACAAAAAATGCAGCATCAACATTTCAGAATTAGGAAGGACGCAACTTTATATATCCTGTGCAATTTAAACGGGTATCTAAGATGAGTTTAGTAGAAGACACGTTGTCCAAACCTATATAATGGATTCTTCTGCACACATACCTGCCATGTCAGGTGATGTTGCTTGTCCTCGTGGCCCAGACAACATCGAGACCCAGCCGGTGGACATCACCTGCACATCCCCACCGGTGGAGCCTCCAGCACCAGAGGCTTCTCCACCCTGTCCTGCAGAGAAGAAGCGCGAAGCTTACCAGAAACGATCAAAGGGTTCTGATGAGCCACCCCCACAGTCAAATGATGTGTCAATGTTACCCGAAAAATCCAATGCCGGCAATGGCGACAAGACTACACCAGTTGCGCCTAATGATGAAGAGAAAGAACATTTCACCGAGACTGATGAGGAGCCCATACATGGGATTCAAGATGTTGTTAATGATTTGGGGTTCGCTTTATTTGTGGGAAAAAATATGTGCAAGTATATGGATATCTACATTCCTGTTCATAGGTTTAGCTGGTCTTGTTTCAGGGTTGATCATGGCTGATCCAGTCGTCATAGCATATCAAAACAAACCAAAAAAAACACCTCCACAAGACATCAAGCTTACAACATGACATCATTTATCATCATCTCATGGCCTTGCCAGGAGAACGAGAACCGGGTGCCAGTCAGCCGTGAGGAGCAGCTTTCGGCCGAGAGTTCAAAAGGCAGAGGTCGGGGGAAAGGCAAAGGGCGGGGTAGGGGCCGGGGAAAGGGCAAAGGTGACACACGAAAAAAAGATGATGATGACAACACTAGCAAAGCAGCCACAGAACGAAAGCCCAAAGAACCCAGGCAGAACAGTCGCAAGAAATCAGCCCCCGAGACAACAGCAAAGAGCAAAAGCAACAAGAAAGCGAAGACAATTCCAGTGACACCTAGCGGGGCAAAGGATGAGACTTGGGACCATTGGGATGGAGTTGATGCCGAATGGCATGAACACTGGGAAGAGGAATGGGGTGAGGGACCTCACTATGGGTGGGCTGGCTGGGACAACTCCCAGGTGTGGGACAAGGCTGCATGGGAGGATGGAAGGGCAAGCCTCTACTCCTTGCATGAGGAGAAGGTTCCAGAGGTGAAGAGGAGAGTGAGGGGAAAACAAACAGAACCAACAGGGGCCAGTGCAAAAACCGCTGAGGCTGAAAATGGCAAGAAGCCCCGCACCAACAAGCGTTCGAAGGAGGTGAAGAAAACGGACAAGGTCAAGGTAGCAAAGGATAGTGGAAAGGAGACAACCAAAACCAAGAGCAAGAAGAGCAAGAACAAGGTCCCACAGGTTGAGCCACAGGTTGAGGTCACACAGGTTGTCGTCGGCAGCATGGTTGACAAGCGAACAGAAGATTTGCAAAAAATCTTAGAAGACTTTGGTCGCAACTACTTTGACGAAGTTGATGATGGCATCACAAGAGCAGACTTGAAGGAATTCAAGCAAGAAATCAAGGAACAAACCATCGGAGCCATGGCATTCAAAGAGTGCAAATTCAACCCCTACTGGAAACGACCGGCAGCAGGGGTTAGGAGCATCACACAGCAGAAGGATTTTGCCTACTTCTATTTCCCGGTAGAAGAAGCATCATGGTGTTTGTGTTTGGCAGTTGCATTCAAAGCTGCTCAGCTGATGGTGCCCTGTCTAAATTGTGTTTTCTGGGAACCTGTGGGTTGGCACATGATACTTGTAATGGTGTCCTTGGGCCAAAGACAACTCATATATATACTATATACATCTCAAAAATATATAATCCTTTTCAGCACTGTTCAAAAAAATAATCAGATCCAGAAAGGTGCATTCTAAAGCGTGTTATCTCAGGCAATGTTCGTGGACGAGCTGATGTCTTCAGACCTGAAGGATCGACACTTCAATGGGCCCGATGATTTCACGATTTCGCCGCCCATTCTTGAAAAGAAAGAGGCGCTTAAGCAAGCTGGCCGGAATGCCATTTTGAAACTGATCTCAGAATTTTCGGAGCAGTAAATTGGATCACATAACACATGTGATTCGGGACCATGAAAGACTGTACTTGGCATATTACCATGCACCTGCGCTTGCCGCCACGTGTGGGGTAAAGAAGTCTGAAATGACTTCTACGGGAAAGCACGCTGTTCCAAGTTTAGATCCCAGGTGCTTAGGGTATGTTTGCCATGGCACGAGCTCAAATAATATGTCACACAAAGTTTCACTCCTACACCATAAGAAAGAGGTTGATCATATCCTTTGAACTGGATGTATAACCTTATTGTGACCTGTCTCTTGGCAAAGACTTGTTGTTCTCTTCTGTGTATGTAAATGTTCACCCTTATCTTTTAGCAGTGAAATCTGGACGTCAATTTTGGGAGGTCCCTTTCGCGCAGAGCACTGCTCACCAGGATGTTTCCCAGCTCTGTGGAATGGCATGTGCCATGTTTAATTAGATCATAAAAAATGTATTTGTACTTGCAGTCAACTTGCAACCCAATCAGATGAATCAAATCCAAATTCCCAAGGTTTACTTTTGGGTAAACATGTAGATTTTTTGGGGATAAGTTCACCAACTCTTTGACACCATGTCTGGCCATCAGATGGAAACAGTCCTGTCGAGATCGCCAGCAAATCCGTGGTTTTGTCTGGGGAAATCTTCAGGCAAGCAGCTTCAAGTTGAAAGTTTGAGCTATCGATGGATGGGCTCCATTGTGAGCATGCCGATGGAATAAAAGGGAATCGGGTTGAGTTTATCGGGAATCACGGAAATCTGGGTTGTATACTTTATCTTTTTGAAATCATCATATAACAAGGTTGACACCACTAAATTATTTGCTAGTTTGAAGATTCTACTGCACCCTGTGGAAATGTTTGATGGCAAGTTGAATCAGCAAACTGCTCCTCAATCTTTACCAATGATTTGGAGAGAGACCCCACAACAATCCACACATATGGAATCCCCACAAATAGTGTGAGCCTTCCCAAGAGGCATTCCAGCCCAACACCGCTCGGATTATCCGCGCCCAGGTCGCAAGACCGAGCCACGGAAGCCACCAAAGGTGCGTGGTCAATGGAGGGTCCGGTCTACGATCCTGAAGCAGAGACGTCGGGGCTGGCATGTTTTTGTGTTCCACATGGTGTCAAACATTTTCAACACTTAGAATAGCATGGGACAGCGATGTCAGTTTCTGCACGAAAATTACTCATTCTTTGAAATTCCATTCGGACATGTTTCAAAGGACTACCCTTGAGAAATTGGTGTGCATGATGTCTAGCTGCTTTGAGTTGTATGCTCAACTTCCGGTCAAGGTTCAAACCTCCATCACCGACCCTCCATGCTCAGAATCAGTAGGGGCTCTGTCAAACTGAAACTGAAACTAATAATTAATAATCTATATATATATATATATATATAAAAATACACACATGCATGCCTTTACACATTTTCATATTCCGAATGGTCATGTATGCTCATTAACCCAATTGATAATTACCCTTCAAAGTTTCTTCAAGCTTTCAGGGGGATGTGGGAAATAGTTTTGGTGTCGAGAGTCGCCATCTTGAAAGCCATGCTGGATCTCGATGCGCTCACTTGGCGCCTGTGGAAGTTAGGAATGCCCCGAGTCCATTGCCTAGATGGATCATATGAAGAAAGATCATACAGCATATGTTTCCAAACCATCAGTGCTCCTTACTTTTTGGTGAAATCATTTGGAGACTTTCCAAGGCATTTGTTATGTGCATCCTCTTGCTTTGCTGGACCTATTCAACGGATGAGGACTTCAATACACCCGTGGTTTTACAGAAATCCATGGTATGTGATCTTAATATCAGATTAGCTTTTGGGGTAATTGGGCATCCTGCCGGCCACATCGCTTGCAGGAATTCCAATGGTTGGAATACTTTGCAGGAGAAGCCAATTTGACTTCTGTCATGGCTTCGGCCATGTACACTTGCGGAAAGTTTGACATCCTTTACAATGAACAACCCGAACATCGGAAGTCGAACTACATGGACTTAACTCATGCCTCCGGATACGGGTTACTGATCTATTCACATGGTACGTTTTGTTCGCCCAACCCTGGTCTCATATCGATGTATATAGCTGGATTCTCTTGTGAAAAAATGAAATAAATGGGACACAGAAATTTATACAGTAATGGGTTGGGGTTGGTCCTGGGGCAAATGGTTTCCGACACTTGTTTCACTTTCAAATAGCTGGTTTACACAGTACAATGTTAGCAACTTGGATCGGCCCATGGTTTTCAAGTGATTTACGTACAATATTTCTCTGGTTAAATCATAGGACATCAAAAATCACTATCAACATATCTTTCTTTTCTAATGAGCCCATGGAACCCCATGAAGAAACTTGTTAGCAGAGGGACCAAATCAAAGCCCCCTGAATGTATACTTAATACCATTTCTTGCCCTGCTCAGGTTGGCCCTGCTCTGCATCTTGCGATGCCGGGTGGGTGACTTTGCTGCCCATCTTGGGTTGAAATGCTCTTCCCTTTGCAAGATGAACCGTGGTACATCTCAGAGAAGCGCATGTGCATCGGTTGGGTTCTGGGAATATCCTTCAGTCTATACTGCGAATGTCCTCATTGAAAGGAGAGCTATAGTATGTTTGATGGGTGTTGAATGCTAACAAGTTACATTGGGTTTTCGATAATATTTATAATTTTCCTTCGAAAGGAATCCATATCCCATGCCCTGTGATCCCGACCTCACAGGAGTTGCACAATGGTAGCTTTGGTGACGGCCCTCGGCGGGCTGTGGTCTCTTGAGCAGCCCTCAGGGTCAGTTCTCGAATACTATCCTACCTGGCGTCACCTTATGGCCAAAATTTTCGAAAATGGAGGTGTTCACAGCGTACCCAAGATTTTGCCAAGATTTTTTTGTCGTAGACTGTTTGTATCTGTTTGGCAACCCCAGATGACTCCTTCAATTTAATTCCCAGCCAGTTCTGGCATGCTTCCACCGCTTTCCATTCCCAACTAAGGTGACGACGGTGCGGTGGTGGATGGGGCATTACAATGCTCCCACGCCTAAGAGGCATTGGGGGGCTTCAAACTCGCCCCTCATCCGGAAGATCGATAAGGGGGTACTTCAAGGGTGGAAAAAAAAGTCTACTTCGACTCCAGTGGTCAAGTACAGGGATTCCCAAGGCCGTGAGAAGTACAAGGGAACAAAGGATTTGCGTAAAACGGAGAAACTTGGTTGATGAATTAACGTGGGATTTGTTGAATGTTTTGCACGTTGACTATTTCCCCCAAGTATTTATAATCGAAATCTTTCTTGTCAGTATTTATATGGGAAAATGGCCCAATTTTGATTATCTTGGTGTTGGGTCCTGAGCACCTTATACCGCATGTGTATATATACGCCCTTCAATTCCCTTGGTTCGAATGCCCTTGCCCAGCCCTAGGGTCTATCCGGTAGCTTTCGCACGGGAGATCCTGGATTCTGTGGAGGCCATGAAAGCTTCCACCCACGGGCAGCCAGCATTACCCAATCCTCTTCCCACTGCTTTCGAGACCTTTACCACTATGAAATGGTCCACTGATGACGACATTTGGGGATTTGTAGACTTCGCCCAGCTTTTCAACTACATCCGCAACAATCGGTCCCTGCGCATTCCCAGTGAATGGAAAGCTGTTGTGCCCAAGACCATGTGACCAGCCTTCAAAACATGTACTATCATGTACCAAACATTTGTATACCCGAATTCTTTGTTGGTGTATATTGCCTCAATGATGTTAGAGTGATTCAGGTCCCAATGGCTTCCAGCTTTTCAGGTAGAATTGTATGCTTTTACATGGTTTTATGTTATTTTTTTGGAAAAAAGTTCGGGTTTGCCCCGAACCCGTACCAAACCCGTACCAAACCCGTACCAAACCCGTACTAACCCGTACTATTTCCCGGAAAACCTCGGGTTTATCTCAATACCTCGGGTATCCTCAACCCGTACCAAACCCGTACCAAACCCGTACTTTACCCGTACTAACCCGTACTTTTAGTATGGGTTTGGATGGTTCCGATTTTTCCAATTTTTCATATGTTTATGATTGGGTTTTTAGCATCATAAAAATCGAAAATCCATTTCCAGGGTGCACACAGCTGTGGGATCGATTTGTTTGTGAAAACATAATTCAAGTGGACAGTGATTCGTAGCACTGCCCATATGTTTCAATTCACTGACCAATTTACTTTGCCCATTTGCGAGCCTGACTACGCCCGCTGGAAAGAAACAAAGATGACAGCTCACCGCTTTGAGTGAAATCAGTGGTGATGAAGTTAGATCTTTCACAACTGTGGGGGGGATTTAAAAGCAAGTGCCAGCGATTAGCAAAATTAACTTCACCACAGCCATTTCCCGTCTGCAGCACAAAGACCGGCCATAAATCATGGCTGAGCAGCGGAGTCAGTCCACCATGGGGTTTGGCAGCTGTGCCACCTTAGAAGATGGTATCAGCCGTGTTTGCAAAGGGAATATTGTAGGTGAGTTGGATTTGATCCCCGATGATGAAGAAGCTCTTCTGCGTGAACTTGAGGATAGCTGGGGGGATAATGATGATGCGGGGTGCTAGGATATTCCAGGTATTCTAGATAAACTTAAATATATATATATACTGTATATATATATACATGTGATGGGCTCAAGCCCCTAAATTTTCTGAAGAGAGATATAAATCTTGTGATCGATTTCAAGACTCTGAAACCAAGTACCATCAAAAGGACATAAAGTTCAAACGGCTTGTGATTTTGACCAGCTGGTTCTCATATATATATATATATGCATGGTTATACTTGGAGTGTCCTGCAAGGAGTTGGACCAGAAGCTTTCTACGGGTGATGACCCAACAGAAGGTGGTACACCAAAGGTTCTGGCCTCAAGAGCTATTCAGATTGTACTTTCAACTTTCAACCAACAACTGCATAGATGATTTTAGATATGAAGTTTTCCTGACAAACCTTCACTTGTCAGAAGCTTTCATTGCATCAATAACCCCTGAATCCTGAAGTGCGACCCCTGCAATCTCAGGCATCCCCTGCTGATTCGCTGACCACGGCTGAGACGATTCCTGCTGAAGCCTCAGCAGAAGTCACGACCAGAAACTTGCTTGAGGCTATTGGATTTTTTTGAGAAACACACAAGGCAGAAATGTTTGAAGTGCACATGCACCCATGCTTGCATGCAAGTGTGATGGCGGGGGCAGGGGTTCTTGAAATTGTATCGTATCACACAATGAGATTTTAAACCGTCCACTCTAAGCATCGTGAAAAAGGAAAAAAAACAAAAAATAATAGACCAGCTTCACTGGAATATGTTCACCATTGTGGCAACGAGGCATCAGAGGAAGAGCTACGTGACAACTGCGGGGATCCAAAGCTTCCAGCTGCAGTGCGCTGGCGGCATTAGAGTTGAGAAAAGAAATCAGACATATATATATATACATATTTGAGATAAGATGCAATCAATCTTAGCGTGACATGGGAAGCTTGACTTCCTTTGGATTTACATATAGTTCCAAAGCACAGGTTAGATGTATGTTTGTGGAATCTTTCACCTTTATGGTGCAGTGTGATATGAACATTCAGCAGCCTTTGTTATCTGGCTACCACATGAGGCATCTGAGCCTGGTGAGCAAGTTGAGCGTACTCCTGTTGCCACTCCTGCTAGGGCACGACCTGCTGACACAGAGACCCCCCAGCCCAATTCAGTTGAACCAGCAGTTCCTTCAGCTGAAGTTTCAGTTCCTGCGCCTGGTGGCAAACCTACAAAGCCAAAGAAGGTTTTGACTCGTCAGGTTGGAAGGTTCCAAAGGGGATGTTAGTTGAAGTACTTGTTGAATTCGCTGTGGGTTTGTCAAAGAGTTTAGTACATATTGATTCAATTTAGTTTTCGCTGGCCCTACATTTCTTTTTGGGGTTTATGTTATATATCCTAATTGGACCACCGCTGCCCTGCACACAGGACAGGCTTCGTTTGCAAGCCAAAGCTCGCATTATCAGGATGGTCAAACCCAAGACTAAGAGAAAGGACCTTGAAGCTCCACAGTACGTGATCGACGAGTGGAAAACCGGGAATAAAAACGCCATAGCGGACCTGTTGAAGGAAGCAAACTTTTGCCAGGACATATTCTGAGAGCAATTTTTCCACACTATCGTTTGCAGATACCTACGCTTTAATCACACCATACATCACTATATATATAGGGCTTGCCATTGCAGGAGAAGTTTTTCAACACGTTGCAAATCATGATCCGGAAGAAACAGTCTGTGGAACTGTTGGTGGACGAAGGGTGGTTTTGCGAAGCTGAGTTACGAGATGACCACGGCTGGTCCCAGTTCATCCCTCAATAAATTTGTTTTCGTGGAATTTGAAATGCTGCTACATGTGCTACAAAAAATATAATCGCATAGCGCGTTCCAACCCATATATGCAGGCATGCGTGCGCGCAAAACCCAGGCAGAAAATCGACGGAGCGAAGGCTCACTGCATGAGCATGGGGGATTCTCATTGCAGGACAGTCTTCGAGTCACAAACCACTTGAATAGAGTTTATCACGCTATCTTGCAAACTCAACATCAACACCTTTTTTCCCCACCTGCCAGGTGAAGGTTGTTAGATTTTATCAGAGTTGTTCTCCTCCTCGGCTAGCTGTCCTCCTCCTCCTCCTCCTCGTCCTCCTCCTCGTCCTCCTCCTCCTCCAGTTTCTCCTCCAGTTTCTCCTCGACCATGTCTGCATCAACTTCCACCTCCACTTCCGCCTTGCCAACTCGTCGCCAAGCTCTTTGCCAACTTCCCAGCTCAGTGTGCACCGCTGGACCTCAACCTGGGACCTTCCCAGCTCAGTGCGCACCGCTGGACCTCAACCTCGGACGTTCCCAGCTCAGTGCGCACCGCTGGACCTCAACCTGGGGCCTTCCGAGCTCAGTGCGGATCGCTGGACCTCAACCTGGGACCTTCCCAGCTCAGTGCGCACCGCTGGACCTCAACCTGGGACCCTCCCAGCTCAGTGCGCACCGCTGGGCCTCAACCTGGGACCTTCCGAGCTCACTGAGCACCGCTGGACCTCAACCTGGCTCAGTCAACCTCCTTGAAGGGGTGAACCTCGGCTAAGGTTTCTCCTTGGGGGTGGTCGTGGTTAACCCCCCGGCATGGTGGTGCCTGGTGCCTTGAGGTGGAGGTGAATGTCAGGTAAGGTGTTTGCTTGGGGGTGGTTGTGGTTAACCCCCCGGCGTGGTGGTGCCTGGTGCCTTGAGGTGGAGGTGAGCCTCAACTGGCTCCCCTGAGCGGGGCATGGTTGACGACAGCGAGTTTCATCCATGTGAAGTCACGTTTTGGGTGTTGTGTGCGAGATGATCACGCGCGACATATGGCATGGATTTTTAAAGCGTGTTTTGGCTTCATAAATGCCAGAAGATATGCCAGATAGAATGCTAGATAGCATGTCCGATAGAATGCCAGAAGATATGCCAGAAGATATGCCAGGTAGAATGCCAGAAGATATGCCAGATAGAATGCCAGAAGATATGCCAGATAGAATGCCAGAAGATTTGTCAGTAACAAAACGTATAAATGTCATGGTGAGGATCACTAAGTAAAGTAATTCTTACCTGTTTTCCAAATCTTGGTTCGCCGGCTCAAGTCATCTCACACACTTCCCAGGAGAAACTGCTATGATGGCCAGCAAGAGTTTTGGGTCGTGCTTAAAGAAACGGGAAAGCGAAAGGAGAAGCACAGTTTCGAGGAAACGCATCAGAAGCGTCAGAAGGCCATTAGTTCTCCCTATAAGTGGCTGTTCGACCTTCAGTGTTGGAATTACATGCGAGAAAATTACAAGCATGCACATATGTATGAATTTGGTATATTGCCACAGCCCATGCCAACCCAATATGCATGCCGGGTCACAAACACCGCACTTCGCCGGGCGTGAGGCCAATGGAGAGCCTACGTGGAACATGGCCGATGTCTTCAAGGGCAAGGGTGTGGAAGGGTTCAAGGAACGAACCGAAGCTGCCGCCACTGCCAAGCTTACATTTCCTGACTCCAATAAGTACTCTCAGGCCATCTTCAATCCAATTATTCGTGCTTGAACCGCTTTCATTGTTGAATATTTGCCATGTGGAACATTCTCGTTCACAACTATCGTCAAACGCATAGTTCATCCCACCCTGGTAGACCAAAGACGCCCTGAAAAAGTTCCTCGAATCGATGATGTCCAAATCTGGCAAGATGAGAGGCTTAGTCCGTGAACTTCGAACCCAGTTCAAAGACCCCAACGCTGAAGAGTGGCTTAGAACATACTTGTGACCAAAAGAGTTTTGTTTACATAATCCACACTGGGAGAATATGTTTATTTAATCCCCGGAATGGTCATTTCAATTTACCACGCCCAATTCAACCTCAGGGACAACCCGGCCTTCTCTCCAAGGTGTGCCAAGACTTTGGAGGCGGAGATCAAGAAAATTGATGCGCAGTACGACCTGTGCAATGAAGCATGGGCCAAAGGAGAACAGGAGAAATTTTGGGGTGATGAGTTACTTGACAAAAATATAGTATACAATCATTTACAACAATCATATACAATCATTAAGGTACCACCACCTTTTGACAACCCACTATATATGCAATATATCAATTGTTTTCCAAGGTCCATCATGAGTCTCCATGTGGAAACGGAGCGCATGCATGCATGCCCACATCATTTTAAATCATATCTTAAATTCTTGGCGTCGCAGAGGTTCTTCAAACTGGCTGAGAAAAGGATGAAGGATGCAACCTTCGTGTTCAAATCTTAGATTCAAGTCATGTCAGTACCAATCCTTTTTGTGAAATTCATGTCATGCAGTCCATTGCAAACACAATCTCTGACAAATCTTGATGGCCCGGGGCGGGGATGGGGCCCGTGGGCCTCAGGTGCTCGAAGGCTGCTGCGCATGAGCTCAAAGTCAGGACGGTTCTGCATCCTGCACCGCTTGGCAGTGAAGCAGAGTCATATATGATATATCATAAATCACAATTTATATATATTATTATATTATTTATATATGGGTTCAGATTTAATTACACAACAATGTCTGGTCACCTGTAAAGAAAACATATGGATGTATATTTTATCGTTGAGTGTACCTGCATTGGTGCAGGAACGCTAAGAAGTACTACGAGAAAAAGTCGAGGGATGAGCGTGGGGCCGGAAAGCCGCCGGGGCAGGTCAAGTCAGTCCCGCGGAAGGCAAAGAAGTAGAAACATGGGAATGAAATATGCAGACACCTTACTTTGAAGCCAGCTTTACTTGGCTTTTGTGGGAAGAGCAGCTCAAAGTTGGAATCCCAACTGTGCCAGTTCTTGTTCGCCAGTGGCATTCAATGTTTGAAATTGTGTTGACTAAACCTCAATTTGTTCATGTTGAAACCAAAAAGAGATCTTGGCCGAGAAATCTAACAAAATCCTATTTATGTTTGTTGTTGCCAAATCTTGGTCGTTGATTTGCGTCAGCCACGGCCCCATGCAATACTTTTGCATATACATTCAATGATGGGACCGCAACGAAAGAGTTGCCCGTTCACACTTGGAACTTTCAAAGTTTGCAGAAGCGAAGGGGGTTCAAAAAAACTGTTGCTTAATGAAGTGCACTGGATGTGAACAAAACATACGTCCTTAGGATCCCTCTATATGTCTATATATATATATATATATATCAAATGGTGATGGAATTCTTCACTTCCATAATCTTTATCTCATATATCTATATATATATATATACGCAATCCCATATATAATTGCATATATATATATATGCACACACTTCTATCCCAACCTCCCTGTGTCCAACCAATCCTTCTGCGTGCCAGGTCCCCGTCCTGGCAACTTTATTCGAGGGGTGAATGCCAGCATCGGTGAGGGAGCCCTTGCCTCAGACGGCAGTGGAGTGCAGTTCAGTTGTCACCTATCTTCGCGAACTGCAGCCTCAACTCTTTACACCTTCAAGGGGTGTAAATTATAATACGGGGGCTAACTGGGATGTTTTGATTTCATCATCCGCATGCAACTTGATAAAATCGCATTCTGTCCTGGCAAATTGATATCATAGGGTACATCAAGGAAACAACAGTGAAATCACTTAAGCACATGTTCCCTTTGCATTTTCGACCAATGATATATGAACTATGGGTTGAACATTGAACAATAATTTTCCATCGGTTTATTCCCTCATGAGCAATGGCCGATGAGACCACCGATGATGAATTGTTCGATCTTTTGACTTCGCACCGTTCAGACACTTGGCTTCACTCCACCTGTTTTCCTGTGTTTTAGTGTGTGTGTGTGTGTTGTTTGTCTCTTTTGGGAATGGTTCAATGGTTGGCATTTCATTGACACCCAATAGACAACAATTACCGTTGAAGTTTGGGAACATAGCCATACATAACCCATGATTAAAAAAACAAAAAATCAAATAATTACTTTACTTCGTATGATCCCCACCATGACATTTATACATTTTGTTACTGGCAAATCTTCTCGCATTCTATCTGACATATTTTCTGGCATTCGATCTGGCATTCTATCTGGCATATCTTCTGGCATTCTACCTGGCATATCTTCTGGCATATCTTCTGGCATTCCATCTGGCATTCTATCTGGCATATCTTCTGGCATTCTACCTGGCATATCTTCTGGCATATGTTCTGGCATACCTTCTGGCATTCCATCTGGCATTCTATCTGGCATATCTTCTGGCACATTATCTGGCAAATCTTCTGGCATTCTATCTGGCAAACATTCTGGCACTTTATCTGGCATATCTTCTGGCATTCTATCTGACATTTTTCCTGGCATTCGATCTGGCATATCTTCCAACATTCTATCTGGCAAACATTCTGGCACTCTATCTGGCATATCCTATGGCATTCTATCTGGCATATCTTCTGGCATTCTATCTGACATTCTATCTGGCATATCTTCTGGCATTCTATCTGGCCGTTGAGGTCCAGCGGTGCACGCACTGTCCAGCTGGGAAGGTCCCAGGTTGAGGTCCAGCGGTGCGCACTGAGCTGGGAAGGTCCCAGGTTGAGGTCCAGCGGTGCGCACTGAGCTGGGAAGGGGTCAGGTTGAGGTCCAGCGGTGCGCACTGAGCTGGGAAGGTCCCAGGTTGAGGTCCAGCGGTGCGCACTGAGCTGGTAAGGTCCCAGGTTGAGGTGCAGCAGTGCGCACTGAGCTGGGAAGTTGGCGAAGAGCGAAGTGGAGGTGGAAGTTGATGCAGACATGGTCGAGGAGAAACTGGAGGAGGAGGCAGAGGAGGAGGAGAAGGAGGAGGAGAAGGAGGAGGAGGCGGAGGAGGAGGACAACAGCTGTGATAAAATCTAACAACCCTCACCTGGCAGGTGGGGAATAAGACTGATATTGATGATTTTTGTGGATTCCAAATGCATGTGAGGAAAAGGATGGGCCCTTTCCATGGGCCAAGACTCCTACAGTACTTCCAGCTGCACAACCGGAGATTAAGGATCACATCCCCCAAAAGGATGAAGGTTGCGAGCTGTCAGGAGAACACATGTTTAGTCTACATGGTGTTGAGACCATGTCACATGACACAACAGCCCCAAGTAGACCACCTGCTCCAGTGCCCCGGCCAACTGGGGACCGTTCGGCATCTGATGACATCATCTTCGATCTTCCCTGTTCCATGGCAGTGGCTGGGGTTGTGCTGCGCCATGCTTACAGGGTGGTGGATAAGCTTTTGGAACAACATTCTCCCATGACATACAAGTTTGGAATCAGCCACAATGCCGAGTGGCGCTGGTGCAACTCAATCTACGGATACGCATTTTCTCGGGACAAATGGACCAAAATGTTGATTCTTTACCAAAGTGATGAGCCATGGGGACCATCGATGTTGGAGGCAGCATTAATCCACAGATATGATGGTAACTTGGTTATGCATTTATGTTTGTAATTACCATAGATTTCTTATTTTTTCCCCCGAAAATAGTAAGTCTACCCTACCTGTGGTGATCCCAGCTACAGACATATAAAGACATATTAAATACAAACAATACACTACTGCCATTCAACTGATACAGTTGTGTCTCTCCGTGGGCCCCGGATCATGCCAGGCAAGCCTGGTTGCAAAAACATCCGAAAAGGCGGAGACACCATTCCATCGCAGACCTCAGAGCAAGACCGTTTTGTCACATATGTTGTGTACAGATCATTCAAGGTGCCACCTCCCATCAGGAAAATTCAATCCTGATGTTGAGTTACAACTCTATGTGGTTTTTCGGGTTGAATCTTAACCCCCATTGCTCAAAGCACAAATGGATATCCGCGAGGACGAAAAAATGCATCACAGCTCTGCACTGCTGAGAGAACCGGCATCAGAATTTATACTTCATATTTTGCAAGTATATACATACTGTACATTGATGTATATATTATACATATATTATACATAATACAGATTGATATATATATATATAATGCAATTATACATGCACGCATTAAGTGCAAGCGAGACCAATCAACTGCTCCAGCACCAGCCCATCCATTTTTGTTCTTGTTTCGGTAGACACACATCTTGTACGTGCTGGCTGAGGCGACCTGTTCCTCTGCTATTCGTACGGCCAAAGACATTGTGAGTGATGTGGGCGAAGCTGCTGCCAAGAACTCGGGTGGGTTGTTGGATTTGGCCCAGTGTACTGAGAGCCATAGTGAAAGAGATTGTCACAGGGTGCTGGTGAACAAATTACACCTTTCACTGCCAATTCCATTCCACTATTTGGAAAAAAACAAGAAGCTGAAAATTCCAATTTTCCGAGTGCAGGACTGGTTTCGTTTTTTACTGAACCACAATTTGTGGCATGTCACGACGGGTCTTCAAAACCCGAACCCTCCTAGAAGTGAGGCGCAGTGGGAGAAATTTTGGTCTCTGTACAGGCAAGAAAATGGAAACCACCAGATCTTTGCCAGAGCTGATTGGGGCGAGATTGATCTGCGGCGCACCGCTGCTATCTTGGTGCACGGCGACGAAGGTCGAGGACGTCGCCGGCAAGCATTTTTTGTATGTTCTTTCCATTCCATTCTGGGAAAAGGATCGAGTGTGGCAGATCGAGGATCCCATCCTGAGGCATCATCGAAAAGACAGTATTGCAAACTTTTGCCCAACTTCAAAGGCCATTCCTACACCACTAGGTACCTCTTGTGCGCAATGACAAAGGATTCCTATACGCATCAAAATGATGACATGTTCCACAAGGTGATGGATTACATTTGCGATGACCTGGAGTATATGGCCAGCACTGGAGTGGTTGATCCACATGGGAAGAGATTTTGGGCAGTGATGCTGCATGTGGTCGGAGATTGGCCATGGTTGGCTAAGTGCGGCTCCTTCACAAGGAGCTTCAACAATATCCAGAAGAAGGCCGCGGCACGCAACAGGCAGCCGCCCAAAGGAATTTGCCATCAGTGTTGCGCAGGCATGGATGGCTACCCTTATGAGCAGATCCAGACTCGGAGGCCGCAATGGCTTTCAACGGAGCATCAAGTGAGCCCATTTTGGATGGATCCGCCTTGGCTTCGCTTGCCACACATTCCCAATGAAGAAGCATGCATCTGGGCTTTCGATTTGTTTCACAGTTTTCATTTAGGAGCGGGCCGCAACCTGGTTGGCGGAGTTCTTGCCCTGTACTCCACACTGGAAGCTGGAAGAAGTGTGGACGAGCGCTTTGAGCTGCTGTCAGATAGGTACAACAGTTGGACCAGATCTGAGGGAATCAGCGGGCTGATCTCTCGCATCACCAAGGAAATCATCCAATGGCCCACAACAAGTTCTTTTCCATGCGCTGGATGGCACAAAGGAGCCATCACAACTGTCATGATGAAGTGGATCGTGAGCCGGTTCTTGTCAGATGACTTGTCCGAGGAACCTCTCCTGCAAATTGCTGGGGAAGGGGCCGTGGCCATCAACGACTGCATCACAAAGATGTTTGCAAGCAATGTGTTTCTAGAGCCCAGGGAGTCTGAAATGATTGGAGAGTTGACGCTTCGCTTTTTGAGGAGGTATGCTTCACTTGCGGAGAAAGCGGCTTCACAGAATCGACCCCTTTTCAAGATCATGCCGAAACATCACGTGATTCACAAGATTGCACTCCGGCTGCTGCTGGCCTCTCGGGCTGGGGTTCACACGTTGAACCCCATCTGCCTATCTGTGCAGATGGATGAAGATTTTATAGGACGCCCCTCCCGTCTGTCCCGTCGTGTGACAGGACGGCGGGGGGGTGTCCATGCAACGTGTTATGGAGAGGTATCTACAATCTACATACACCTACTATGTTGATGCCGGTTTTCTCAGACTTGCTAACGCTGGAAGATAGAAAAAAACGTTGGCGGGCTGAGGTCGGGTCTTCGCAAAGAACGCACATGCGTTCAAATAGCAGCAACTGATGGTAAATGGCTATGTGGAAAGGGATGTGACAAGATTCAATGCATTTTCGAAATCTTTCGAAATCTTTCAAAATTCTGGAAATCACAAACCTCGGGTTTCCATCGCAAACCTCGGGTTTCGGAACGAACCCCAAGATTTTTCAGACTATGGGTTCCTTAGGTATATATTATTATGACAAAACGTGACGTATATGACGTATATGACGTTGCCACTGGTCGCAAATGATTTAAGAAAAGTAGTCTTGGAGATGTCACAATCACATTAAGTGTATGGGGAAAGAATGCGTGTTAGATGCATGCGGAATATTTGCATGAAGACAGTTAGTACATAGTGACAGAGTGATAGAGTGATGCTGTGCCTGGATATCCTTGATGAATCAAATGCACTACGATCTGCGAGACAAACCTCGGTGAAATGCGGTTGTCATGTGAAGCACAATAAATCGCAACAAAACGATCAAATAAAATTCAGCATACAGCACTGAAAACAGGAAAACTATGGAACACTGAAAAATTGTGAAGCATGACAATATATGACGATGTTTGGCTTGAGCACTGCAAACTCAAAGCTAATCATTCCAATCTTATCCATCTTATCCTTTGGATTCTTTTTCCCTTTTTCCGGTTCCCGTGGGATGTCGATGTCATCGATGTCGAAAACGGATTTCCATCCCGGGTGTCCCAGACGTGGGAGCTTTGAGGAAGATCAGCACCGGGGACGGATCCGCGGAGCTCCTTGCCAAGGCCCATCCCTGCGAGACGCGATGGAAGGGGCTATACGTTGAAATATGTTGAAATTATGGACATTTATGGACTATGGATATCTATGGATGTGAGATATGTGAGATGGATTGATATATGATGATATATGTGTGGCTATGATGTGGATGATTTTCAGAGGCTCTAAATTCCATATGTGTCCATTGACGTAAAGCACCATCAATACATAGATTGATTTGTCGCTTTCAGAAATGCAATGCAAAACAAAGGCATCGAAACTCTCTTGCGCCTGCGCGCGGTCCAAAGCATTCCTGGAGAATGTATGGACATTATGACATTAGATACATTATGATACATTAGGCATTTCATGAAACCAAACCGGCAGCAAGAGCCATGGACATATGCCCCTTGCTTCCCTGGTCAGATGTATCCGAGGGTATCCGAGACTCAGTATGTTGGGGCTCTGGCAAATCAATTCGCCCGTCCACCAAGTGTGAACAAACAGGTCTCGGTTTGCAAGGCCTTTGCGAACAGGTAGCCACGAATATGATGAAAGAAATATAATTAAGAGGCTATGGCAGCAAAATCTATCGAGACAGGTGGCTGGACTACAGGCAAAAACGAGCAACATTCATAGAGATGGATTAACCTAAAACGAGCAACATGAGGTGAAAAAGGCTCGTGTGCCCCGCAACAGGCCAAGTTGATCAAGTCGGGCCAACACAGCGCCTGTGTCGGGCGACGTTTCTCGATTCTGGCGCTGCGCCAAGATGGACGGCTCCTGCAAAGAATTGTGAAAGATGCAAAAGACAAAAACCACTGACGATGCGACATGTGTCATGTCACTCATGTCATGCATTCAGCAATCGCGGGCCATGACACTTCATGAATAGGACGTGGCAAATGTCTGCTCTTGCAAACTGAACCTCTCTAGAAACAAGTTCACATCTCTTGCTACACTCCCGTTCCACCAGAATGCCTTGACTTGCGTTCCCAAATCCATGGGCTAGGCCCAAGGACAACAATGTCAGGACCTGTCGGCCACTCAAATCAACGCGAAACATGTCAGTCATGGCACACATCCAGCCCTGCTCTGACTTCTCAAAATGCATAACACAGCACATAGCATACCACATGGCACACTGGCACAACGCATATTTATGACTCCAACTGTCGGAGTAATCTGGCTCCTCAAACCAATTTGAGTGCACTCTAACTGTAACTGCAACAAGCGGAGGCCTTAAGCATGTCGCATGGTCACAACCCAAGGAGGCAAATCAAAATGTGAGCCTTCCTTGAGCTGAGTCTGCGTAAGTTGTGGAAAGTCATACTCGAACTGTCAGCACCGGGGTTATGGCTGATGGCAGGCTGGCAGGCTGACAGAGAGCTCGCACGTGCTAACACATGCTGCGAAAAAGGCGAACGGAAATTGACAGAAGACCAGCAAAACACTGAAATGTGCAGTTTTTCCCTTGCACAAGGTCCAAGTCAGTCAGTGAGACATACATCGTACAAATGCTATTTGAAGCAAATGCACTCAATTCTTTTCGCGTGCTCTTGAGATAAATTTCATTTATAATTTGTATTAAGTAGATCGGTTGCCTTTTCTCACACAATCACTACCACATTTTGCAAAAGTCACTGTCATACCCTGAACAATCATTTCTATCGCTGCAAAAATGTATGAGAGTATGCAGACATATGCAGACGGTGCAAATTCATCGCCTGTTCGACTTGGTCATGGCCTTGTGATGCCTTGTGGCTTTGAGCTGCGAATCGCTGCACTTTGGCGCTGTTTGGCTGTGCTATCCGCTGCACTTTCTGACCTGTTGCCTCATGGTGTCTTGAAGAGCATCACACCTGCAGCGAATAGCTGGAGGTAGCACAAGAAATGGCTGGGTTGCTCGCACCTCTGCATCGTTCTATCAAGCCATGCGGCGACTAAGTCACTGTAGGCCACTAAGGAAAGCACCCATTTGTCCGATGTAGAAGTAGCCTTAAATTTGCACAGGGGGGTGCAGTTTTGTATGTTCAATAGTTGTGACTTTTCACCCGAAGTTCAAAGCATTCCAAAGCAGCTAAAAAAAATCTGCTAAAATCTGACGTCCAAGTGGCAATAGCAGCTCTTTTCGTGCGTGACCTGAGGCAATGAAGATGAGCAAGTGACAGCAAGTGTTCATCTTTTGCCGATGGAATGCCGATGTAAAGCTGCGAAAGCTGCCAGGGCTCCCAGCATAGCTGGAGAAGTGGCGACCGACCAAGCAGTGCCAAGTGGGGCCATACCTCGAGTCTGTGCTGTGCCGTGCCACAGTCCATAGTGTTCTGCATGTTTTATGCTGTGTCCCACAGTCGGCAAAGTTTGGGCACTCGAGTTCAAATTGCTCCTTCAGATCAGAGGCAATGTCCTTTTCAAGGTTGTAGTGCTCCATAGCGTACCTCAAGACGATGGGGCATGATGGGGCATGACAGGTCTCAAGGCTTGGAAGTCTTTCGTCTTGGCCTATTTGATGAGCGGATAGCGGATAGCGGATCCTTTTTTCAGCGCAAGCCTTTGGCCGCTGAAGTGAAACGATCACTGACTACGTCACGACGTCCCTACATCACTCAAGCACATCATGCCCTGGGCAAAGCTTATGCATCCTCAAGCACAATTTGCACCTCAAGGGGCTTGCGGGACTCCAGATTGGATTGAATATATTGGATAGAGCAAAAGCTCAAGTAAACTTCAATCATGTTTAATCATGTTTAATCATCCTGCAAACGCTGGCATCTAGATTATATAGTGTTTCAAGAAATCGATCGACATTTTTTCGGGGAAACATGTGATATCACTTGATGCATTTGAGAATATTTGAGATGATGCTTCCTTCTGCAATTGCCATTGCATGGCCAAAAATCAGCTCGCGGCTTGAAAGGGAGTCCTTGACCAGGATTCGGCCTGGCACAGTGTGATCTGCACAGTATGGGCACTGTTGGAAGAGGTGGCTGTGGCCGAATGAATAAATCATTCGGCCAATCTGCCTTCTCCTGCTGTGCACTTGGCGATCGGGCCCTGTCTTGGCCTTGGCACAGAGCATAGCCACATGGCCATCTTGGGGCTGATTCAGGAATATAATTTATATATATATATAATATATATATTATATGAATATATGGCTGCTTCCAAAAACGGAGGGAGAAGGACAAATGCGTGGAAAATGATGATTGACGATGGGATTTCGAGGTACCCTTATTCTCAAACTACTTGGCAAACCCATATTCCCTAACTGTATCCAACTGTAGCATACATCATTGGAAGTGAAAACTGAGTAACTGGCCACAGCATAGATCCTGAAGCGATTTCCTGCCTGTGGCATTTGGCACCAAGCAAATTCTAGCGAAGAAGTTGCTCGATGTCTGAAAAAGAGAGATCCTCAAGTTTCTGCTCTGAGATGGACTATTGTTTTAGGGCCTTCCAAAATTCAAGTTCCCCAAATGTGGTTTCTGTTTGAAAGAAACAAGATATGTCAGAAGGATTTGGAGGGAAGTGAACGTTTCAGTGACTTGAATGTCTTTGAATGTCTTTGCTGTGATTTTTGATTGAGACACTCTTGGTTGTTTGGTCGTGTCCAAAGCCCGAAAGAATCCGACTTGCCAACCTCTTGTCCCCATCGCTGCGGCGGCAGCGAGGCCACATCACCTTCTCTCCTTGGCAACCGGTGCATCCCTAAAAAACGTCATAGGCACCACATATTGCGACGTCAAAACCCAGACTCCACTGAGGCCCGAACTTATCACCTGGAGAAACTTCGAGAGGTGCAGTACAGCATCTATTTGGCATGTCAAACTACAACAACAGGAACCTGAACCAAGCTGAACTGTAGAAAGAAATTTCAGGGATCCCACTTTCTCATACTCTCTCCATCTTTAATCCAGGACTAAAAATTCTTGGTATATGGTGACATGGTGACCTTGGGGAAGGCCTCAAGTTTCAGATCAATTCACATGACCTGACTTTACGATACTTTACGAACATTCTCTGAGTTTCGGACCCAGACCCTTTCGACTGCCAACCTGAAGTGTGTCAAATGCTTCACATCTGCCGCAGCCAACACATGCCAACACTCAATGTCTACGGAGTCTACGGTTTGCAGTCTGTCGCGGTCCCATGTTTCCCCCCTGCGCACCAAAGATGGAGCAGACTGCGCGCGAGAAATTTCTGCTACCTGAATGCAAGATCAGATTGGTGACAGCCTAGCAAGCAAAACATAGCAAAACATAGCAAAACTGCACCAAAATGTTGGGACAACCGAAAAAACATGAAAAAACTCAAGTTTGGGTCAGTGTCTCTCATGGCCTTGGATCTTGGGGCCTTGCCAGCCAGGTACGGTGCTTGGATTTCGAAGATACAAGTGATGTCTGGTGATGCAACATGATGCAACCCACGAGCATATCCCTGCAGCGATGTCTGTGGATCATCGCCGAATCGATCCTCTTTTCACAAACGAAGGGCCGCTCAACGTTGCTCGAGACCCAGAAGCTCAGGCCCTGATCTCTGCTTCGCAGAGGCGTGAAAAAGTTTGTCCGCGAGAGAAAATTGGTGCATCTGAATGGAAAACGCAAATTATTTCAGTGCAGGCCCCGTGTACAGCATGGACATTTTCCCACCTGAGGAAAGCAAACAGAGTTGACATTGGTGAACAGCTACTTTTTGCAGTCGTTTGATGTCAAAAGATCAATGGAATGTACCAGAAGCTTCAGCAGCTTAGCACTTGTCCATTTATCAAAGCAGTTCCAAGCAGCTGCAAACTCTCTCTATCCGACTCAATCTGTTAATCCGGTTCAATCCGCCTCTTGAGTTTGGCAGAGCAGTTCCTTCAATCATTGAGCCGTGGAGGGCTTTCTCGATGACCTTCCACTGGTTTGATGGCACCTGCAGAGGCAGTTCAAGTTGTCCTTCTGAGGCAGTCCCATGCTGTTGCACATACGGTTGGGTCACGTTGCTCAGAAGAAAGAAACAAATGCAAAAACACATTCTAGAGCGAAACAATACATGTCATGTGAAAAATATTGAAAAATTGGATTGTGAAAGACAAAAAACAAACATCATCCTGACCTTGCCATCCAGCGATGACGCAGTGGAGTCTGCAAGAAGCTCTTTGATCTCAGCCTTTGTGAAGTGCAATCCAAGGGAGGTCGTAACATGTCGTAACAATTGTGGCATTTTATGCATTTTCACAGCACTCATCTTGTGGGTTCGCCCCGACAATCTCGTGCCTCACTCATCCATCGCGCATCTCTCAACTCGTTCGGATCGATACAGATCGACTCAGTTGTAGCCTTGAACAAAGTGCAATATGTGCGACTTCCAGACTCTGGAGATGTTGAGAGTGCGCTTTGAATGCTTTGAATGCCTTGAATCACCGTGCGACTTGTGGTGAAATCAAATCTCTATATAATGTGTTGCCATGTTTTGCCTGATTGCTACAAAAAAAGAAAAAAAAAAAACGTACAATTCTCATGTTTATCCGTCTTTGTGTCTTGTTTCCCTTTCCGAAACCTTGGCATCATGGCATATCATGGCACCTTGACTTTCACTGAGACGAACATATCATCCTGTCCGAAGCGAAAGTTGTGCGAGTGGCGCAGGCTGACGACTCCTTGGTGCTGCGCAAAAAGGGTGCCCCGAACAGTGGCGAAAAAGGGGGCGACTCCTTGGGTGTCTCGGTGTCTCCGCCAAGGCTCCATCCAGTTCGCCTTTGATGCCCGTTTCCTCGAAGATTGAAACGAACTTTGGAACGAAAGGATGAAACATGCGAAACATGTTCGGCACATGTTCGGCACATGAAAGGGCACATGAATGCATGTTAAACAGTGTTAAACAGTGTTAAACAGTGTTAAACAGTGTTAAACATGTTTGGCACATGAAAGGAACAATGTTTGGCACCTCCTGCACCTCTCTCAGAACCGTCTCCGCCTGGAACTTTGCAGCCAAGGCCAGCATGCCATAACATGCCATAACCATCATAAATCATAATTCTCACATAAGTTCATATCGTTCATATAATAAGTAAAATCATAATCTTTTGCCTTTGATAATTTGTGATGGTTTCCTTACTCATAGACCATTCGTATATGCATCCTGTCATATGCGGTGTGCGGTACGTGTCATTGTCTCAGCCAATGGCAAAATCCTCGCCGGGATCTGCCAAGCCACCTGCAACACACATCTTCGCCAAAAAAACAGCGCCAATAGAATCCAAAAAAAAAAAACGATGTTTTGCTGGGCCTGGAAGCTTCCAACCTTGGACCACATCGGTTTCAAACAGTTTCAACATGTGGCCACATGGAGCACGGACAGAGTGACTACCTGCCACTACAGCCATTTCATATTGCATACATTGCATCATGGGTCTCTGTGTTGCAACCGGGTTACAGCCCTCAAATTGCGGCACCGGGGAGACTCGCTCTTGAACCAACAAGATCTCATCCTGGTGGCGCGGGCAGTGCTCCACTCTGGGAGACATCAGCCAGGTACATTTAGAGGACCCACTTTGACTTTGAGCAAACTGATGGCATTCAGAAACACATGAGGTACAATGGCCCCTCACCCGACCACACTCTAAAACAAGGAAGAGCCGAGGACAGACGACAGCACCAGAGTATCAATGAGTATCAAACAAAGATCTTAAAGGCAGTCCTACTTCAAAATGCAGTATGCAGTTGCAACTCCGGTCCTTGCTGTTCACAACAATGCCGCCCACACCAACCTGGGTAAAGGCGTACCTCCACATCGTGCCACGGTGCCACGACCCTCTTGTGTTTGCAAGGCTGCATAAGGCTGCCGACTAGGCCGTATGGCCACACCATGCCACACCTTGGCAAAGGACTTGGAGAATCCGGAAGCCACTGCGTCATCATCACATAGTCCTGCGCGTTCAAAACTGCAGAGAGTAATTGTTATCACTGAGATATGTTTTGAAAAAAAATGTGAGAAGAAATATGTTTTTGTAACAGCAACAGAGAGTTGAAGTCAGCAATTGCCAAGACAGCTCCTCTTGGGCATGATGAAAACGGAAACCTGGGGAAAGCAAACATCTCTGCCATGAATCATGAATCATGAAGATTTATAACGAACGCCACTTGAATCCGTGATCTTTGGCAGTCTGTATAGTATCTGTCTTTGCTCGACCTTGTGCTACTGCAGAACCAACGCAAGCAGCAGCCGGAAGTGGGATCTTCAGCCAAATGCCTGAGTCGACGTCGGAGTCGACGTGTTCCAGAATCTACCTCTATGGACATGCTATGGAAGTCAATGTGATAAAGAAAGCAAAATGCCTGGATTCTTGACTTATTAGCAGCATTTTGATCTCCAGCCTTTCTTTCCTGCAGACTTCCATCCTTGCAGGCCTCTCGTTCGATAATCAGACCGTCAGACCCGTTTTATGGGAGACTCGCAGATTCATCGTACTTCAGTAATTCATGGCGAAATGTCATGAGGAAAACGAGAGGAACCCGCACCTTGCCGGAGTTCCGCATCAAACGCCCCCACTGGACCAACTTCAGCCACCGCCTGTCCGGTGCAAATCGATCACAGCATCCAATGGGCATCCAACACGTACAACATCGTACAACACGTTGCCCCTGAGACTTGCACCTCAACGCCACCATAGCGGTCCTTCCACAGGAGAAATGCGAACAATTAGTCAAACAGCACATAGTTTGACTTTGTGATTTTGTGTATTCTGATAGTACATGATAGTACATACTTTGTGTGTACATCTTCTGAGGCAAACCAAGCCTGGAACAACTGCAAATCTGTCCTCTTTGGCTGTCAGCAATGGCGCCTTGGGCATTTCCTGCAACATTGAGCATTGCACCAAAGATTCGCCTACGGCTCCAATTTTGATGCAGAAATTCTGCCAACTCGTGGCCACGCCTGGGCCTGCTGGGCCTGTGCATCTTTGACACAATCCGCCAGCAGTTGCAGGGCCGCTTTCGTGTAGCTCCACCTGGAACGGAAAGCAATGGCACCAGCATTGGCACCAGCATTGGCACCAGCTATGCCAGCTATGAACTCTGGATGTTTGTTCTCCACGGCGTCTTGTTCTCGTTGAAATTCGCACCATTCCCTCCTGGTTTTCCCTCCATAGAGTGTTGCTGTCAAGACTTCACTCCTTTTCGGACTTGTCCGGTCACAGTTTCTATCGCACTGTCCGGTCACTGAGGGTCTCGGCATGTTGGCTTCTCTGTCATTGTGGCCCGACTCAAGGAAGACTCCACGCTCAATGGGGCCGGACACAAAGATCGCAGTGAATCCTGAGCAAAGGCAGCAAGGTCCAGATCACAAAAATTGCAAATCTCAAGAGAAAAAACCGGAGGCGATGAAAAACTGGTCCTGTGGTGATCTCTGGGAAGGTGAAGGTAGGCCCACAAGCGCCACTCTCACACAGGCACCAAGTGGAGCCAACCTCCGGGACAAGAACGGCAAGTCCGGTGGTCTGATGTCTGCACAATCCCGGCTTGTTGGAAGACTTCCAGGAAGTTTCATGATACCAAAAACAAATATGATCAAGAATGTCACATAATGTCACTATGACTTCGCACTGGAGATCCTGCAGGATTGATTGCTTGGCACGACTTTGGAGCTCCACCTTGAGTCAATTTGATCCTGATATATCCTGATGATAATTTCACACAAACTTACAACTGATTTAATCACGAATAGACTCTGTAAACTCTCTTGGCGAAGTGGGTTCGAACTGAGCGGTTCCCGACCTCCTTGCGCTTCAGCCGAGCAAGCGTCTCTGTCCAAGTACCTCAATTTTTAGCCATTCACAGATCTTCATCCATTTGGACAAAGTGATTGGGTTGAACTGCAGCGACGCTGAGGGTCTGTCGCTTTGAATCCTGGCATGGGCACAAGAAAAACTTGCTGGATCTTAACATCGTTTTCCTCACACAAAGTTGAAGTCTCCGTATGTCAAAAAATGTCAAAAACAAGGAAAACGATGTTAACAAATCTTCGCAACAGGACCTTGTAGCCCTCGCCGTTCTCCGGCTTTGCGGAGGGCAACAGGACCTCTCCGCCCAGGACAGCATGAGCCTACCAGAAGAAACGATGGATGGATGATACTACAAGATACTACAAGGAGTTCAATTGAGTTCGAAAAAGTTCGAAAATGCCTCACAGTTCAAGATTAGTCCAAGTATGATAAGTATGTTCAAGCCATCGCGTACGATTATTTTGGTTTTTCAGCATGGCATTTACTTGAACCTTACAAATACCTACGTGTCTGGTTTCAACAAACATAGTGACGACACTGCCAACCTTTTGTTTGCTGTAGCTGACCGCTCCACAAGTTGTGAAAGACGAGGCTCCTGGATTGTCACCGAAATTTGCAAACTGAGATGCCTCCGAACATCTCCGAACAATGGCTACAAAAGGTGTACAAACATCTGGAAACTGTGTACCCGCCCTGTCCTGGCTGGGATTGTAGAGATGCCTGTAACACAAAAGGTCCAGTTGGAGAATACTCCTGGCACCAAAAATTCACGCCTGGACAAGACCTGCAGTGGTGCTCTCGAAGACACCTGGTTTGATGAAAACATATGAAAACAAAGGATCTGGGAAGCAGAGTGAAAGATTGATGTAGTGCAGCAGGACTATGCAGGACTGTCATTCAAAAACAGAGCAATCACTTGAACGCATAAGTGCAACCAAATTTGTACCCAGTGTAAAGCCGAGACAAGTCAACTGCAGAAAAGTGCTTTGGCATTCAGCTTCAGACTCACAGTTTGCCCGGCCGCTTTCAGAGCAGCTGCTGCTTCCTGCAGGGACTTAATTAACGGAATTGTCCGTTGCTTTCTATATCTTGTCACATTGCATAAGAAGAATACTTTGGCCAAGTTTCAAGCAGTTGGATCACGGATATGATGATATGACACTTGTTTTATCTTGTTTTGATCTCATGAATCTCATGAATCTCATGAATCTCATGATATATGTCAGCTGTATATCTCAGCTGTAGACATCCTTAGTGGTTCCGTCCTGTCCAAGCTCCGTGAGGGACACCGACCCCAGACGCTCCGAGTTCAGCAGCACAGTGCGGAACAACGGGTGACCCGCCATGGCACGTCAGAGCACAGCACGGTGCAATTGGCACGGTGCAATTGGCACGGTGCAATTGGCACGGTGCAATTGAGGGCTTTTGATACACTTTTGATACACTTGAGGGATACTTTTCTAGGGCAATATTTTTCTATGTTTTTCTATGCTTTTGTGCGCTTCAACTAGACGACGGTTGGCCCGAGAGCGAAAAAAATGTTTTTCAAGCAGCTCTGAGGATGGTAGTCGTAAAAGATAGTCGGTGAATAGTTGATGAATTTTATATGAGCTATGGAAAGATATGATGTGAAAAAGTAAGATTGATCAAGAAGAGAATATTTGGTAAAGGGCATCAGATGACATGTGTCTTGCAACCAGAGAGAGAGAAAGAGGGGGCAGAGATAAAAGAGAGAGAGAGAGAGAGAGAGAAAGAGAAAGCAGAGAGAGAGAGAGAGAGAATGAAAGGGGTGGGGTAGAAAGAAAACATGGAGAAATGTAATGTGAGCAACAAAAGTGCACAGGAGTGCCATGAGTCTGCGAATGACATGTGCTATCTCATTTTATTATGGTAATTCCCACACACATTGCGGAAAAAGGCGCGGCACCATCATTCCGTGAACGCGAAGAAACGCGACGCTTTTATACAGAGATGCTTTTACACACAGAATCTTTTACACATAAACACTTTTACACACAGACGCTTTCACACAGAGACGTTTTTCATGCACACACACACAGACGCATTTCCACACAGAGACTTTTACACGAAAACACTTTAACACACAGACGCTTTTATACACAGACACTTTTACACACCTACGCTTTTACATGCAGATGCCTTTTTACAGACGCACACACACTTTCACACACAAACGCTTTTACACACAGACGCTTTTAAACACAGACACAGACGCTTTTCCACACAGACCCTTTTACACACAGACGCTTTTACACACAAACACTTTTACACACATACGCTTTTACACGCGGACGCTTTTACACGCAAACACTTTTACATACAGACGCTTTTACACACAGACGCTTTTACACTCAGACACTTTTACACACAGACGCTTTTCCACACAGACCCTTTTACACACAGACGCTTTTACACACTTTTACACAGAGACGCTCACAAAGCGCGGCACCACTGGGTGACCTCAGTTGCAAACAAAGGTGCGCAAACATAGTTGCAATGGAAATGCTAAAAAATCGCAAAAGTGCACAAGACCAGGCTCAGTACCATGATCAACGCACAATCCAATGCAAGGCATCCGCTCTTTGAGATACAAAATAAGCTCGGCACCATGATGCCGTGGATGACCTCAGTTGCAAACACAGGTGGGCAAACATAGTCGCAATGGAAATGCTACAAAATGCAAAAGTACACAAACAAAGGCTCCGTACCATGGCATCCAAAAGAATCTAGAACTCCGTGCAAGAATGCTTTGAATGATTCCACAATAGCAAGTTCGATATCATGATGGCAAGGATGACACTTGTTTCACTGCATTTCTCCGATGTCCCTACAGGATGGAAAAAAATCTACGTTCACGTCTGAGCCCAGGAAAGAGGTAAAGAGGTAAACTATGCTTGTCGCTGCAGAGTTGCACAATCCACTGCAAAGCATTTGTTCTCTGACTTCCAAACTGAGAACACCACTCATGAGTTTGACATGGCAAAGAACCACTGTCGCAGAGACCTGCAAACTGAAAGCTGAACGCATCAACAAAAAACTAGTTTAACAAAGCTGGGTAACAAAAAACTCAGCAGCTCGGCAACACCATCTTGCATCATCTCGCAATGCCTTGTTTCATCTTGCATCATCCTGGACTTCCAAACTGAGAACACAATTCGTGAGTTTGACACTTGGGATGGGCATCATTGTCGAACACCATGATGCTGTAAATTACATGCATCACACCGTTCTCGAAGGAAACATCCACAAAGGTACAACGAACCCAACAGCTTGGTAACTTCTACAACTTCATGCACTAACCTGCTACACACTCGCACAATTCAATGCAAAGAATGTGTTCTTCGAACCCTGAGACCACGACTCCTGCGTTTGACAAGCAAACATCATTGTCGCATAGACATGCAAACTGAACAGTGAAGCTCACTATGAACATATCAATTCCCACACAGATTACCACACCAAACGAACCAAGCTCCGCACGTCCTAGCACGGATACACTGGCAAGCATTTTCACCCTCAATCTCTAACAGTTCCATGTCGTGCGGTAAAAGTACACACAAAATCTTTTACACACAAACGCTTTTACACATGGTGCTTTTACACAAACACACTTTGACACACAGACGCTTTGACACACAAAAGCCTTTACACACAAACGCTTTTACACACAGACGCTTTTACACACAAAAGCTTTTACACACAGACGGTTTTACACACAGACGCTTCTACACGCAGACGCTTTTACACGCAGATGCGTTTTACACACGCACACACGCTTTCACACACAAACGGCTTTACACACAGACGCGTGACACACAAACGCTTTACACACAGACGCTTTTACACACAGACACTTGTACACACACGCACACACGCTTTCACACACAAACGCTTTTACACACAGACGCGTTGACACACACAACGTCCACGTATTTGTTCCTCAGTTTTTGACGTCCACGTTCATTTCGTTGTGATGTTGTCAGGGTTGCGATTTGCCTAAGTAACAAGTCGCCAATTTTTTCCTTGTTTTTGAGTCCAACGTCCATTTCGTGCGAAAAAGGGTTTTGCGCGCGGGACCGATAAAAAGTTGCAATTTTTCTTCAGTTTTTAACGTCCAAACGTTCCAGTTCGTGCGAAAAGGTTTGCGCGGACGGATTATATAAAAATAAAAGTCGCAATTTTTTTCCTCAGTTTTTGAAGTCAACGTCTTTCGTGTGTAAGGGTTGCGATTGACTAAGTAAAGTCGCAATTTTTCCTCAGTTTTTGACGTCCAACGTCCATTTCGTGCGAAAGGGTTGCGATTGACTAAGTAAAGTCGCAATTTTTCCTCAGTTTTTGACGTCCAACGTCCATTTCGTGCGAAAGGGTTGCGCGGGACGCTTCAAAGTCGCAATTTTTCTTCAGTTTGTGACGTCCAACGTCCATTTCGTGCGAAAGGGTTGCGCGCGACAGATAAAAGTTGCATTTTTTCTTCAGTTTTTGACGTTCAACGTCCATTTCGTGCGAAAGGGTTGCCGGGGACACTTCAAAATCGCAATTTTACCTAGGTTTTGGACGTCCAACGTCCATTTCGTGCGAAAGGGTTGCGTTTCGTGGCGCTCCGGCGGCACCGCCCCCGCCTTAAGAGAGAATAATAGAAGAAGAGCGAGAGGAGATCTGCAGATGTGAAGGTGTGAAGATGTAGATCTGCAGATGTGAGGGTGTGAAGATGTAAATCTGCAGATGTGAGGGTGTGAAGATCTAGATCTGCAGGTGTGAGGGTGTGAAGATCTAGATCTGCAGGTGTGCGGGTGTGATGATGTAGATCTGCAGATGTGAGGGTGTGAAGATGTAGATCTGCAGATGTGAGGGTGTGATGATGTAGATCTGCAGATGTGAGGGTGTGAAGATCTAGATCTGCAGGTGTGAAGGTGTGAAGATCTAGATCTGCAGATGTGAGGGTGTGAAGATCTAGATCTGCAGATGTGAGGGTGTGAAGATCTAGATCTGCAGATGTGAGGGTGTGAAGATCTAGATATGCAGGTGTGAAGGTGTGAAGATCTAGATCTGCAGGTGTGAAGGTGTGAAGATCTAGATCTGCAGGTGTGAAGGTGTGAAGATGTAGATCAGCAGATGTGAAGGTGTGAAGATGTAGATCAGCAGATGTGAAGGTGTGAAGATGTAGGTCAGCAGATGTGAAGGTGCGAAGATGTAGATCAGCAGATGTGAAGGTGTGAAGATGTAGATCAGCAGATGTGAAGGTGTGAAGATGTAGATCAGCAGATGTGAAGGTGTGAAGATGTAGATCAGCAGATGTGAAGGTGTGAAGATGTAGATCAGCAGATGTGAATGTGTGAAGATGTAGTATAACGGCTGCTTTTTTACGAAGAACCCTTCGCAGGCGCTCCCGGGGAAAAGAACACATGTTATTCCATTTTAATATACAATTTCCCACACAAATTGGCAAAAAAGGCTCGGTACCATGATGCTGTAAATTACATGCATCACACCGTTCTCGAAGGAAACATCAACAAAGGTACAACGAACCCAACAGCTTGGTAACTTCTACAACTTCATGCACTAACCTGCTACACACTCGCACAATTCAATGCAAAGAATTTGTTCTTCGAAGCCTGAGACCACGACTCCTGCGTTTGACAAGCAAACATCATTGTCGCATAGACATGCAAACTGAACAGTGAAGCTCACTATGAACATATCAATTCCCACACAAATTACCACACCAAACAAACCGAGCTCCGCACGTCCTAGCACGGATGCACTAGCAAGCATTTTCACCCTCAATCTCTAACAGTTCCATGTCGTGCGGTAAAAGTACACACAAAAACTTTTACACACAAACGCTTTTACACATGGTGCTTTTACACAAACACACTTTGACACACAGACGCTTTGACACACAAAAGCCTTTACACACAAACGCTTTTACACACAGACGCTTTTACACACAGACGCTTTGACACACAAAAACTTTTACACACAGACGGTTTTACACACAGACGCTTCTACACGCAGACGCTTTTACACGCAGATGCGTTTTACACACGCACACACGCTTTCACACACAAACGCTTTTACACACAGACGCGTTTACACACAGACGCTTCTACCCGCAGACGCTTTTACACGCATTTTACACGCAGATGCGTTTTACACACGCACACACGCTTTCACACACAAACGCTTTTACACACAGACGCGTTGACACACAAAACAGACGCTTTTACACACAAAAGCTTTTACACAAAAAGGCTTTTACACACAGACGGTTTTACACACAGACGCTTTTACACGCAGATGCGTTTTACACACGCACACACGCTTTCACACACAAACGCTTTTGCACACAGACGCGTTTACACAGACGCTTTTACACGCAGATGCTTTTTACACACGCAGACACACTTTCACACACAAACGCTTTTACACACAGACGCCTTTAAACACAGACACTTTTACACAAACGAAAGCGTCCATCGCAATTTTTTCTCCGTTTTTGACGTCCAACGTCCATTTCGTGCGAAAGGGTTACGATTGACCAAGTAAAATCGCAATTTTTCCTCAATTTTTGACGTCCAACGTCCATTTCGCGCGTAAAGGTTGCGATTAACTAAGTAAAATCGCATTTTTTCTTCAGTTTTTGACGTCCAACGTCCATTTCGTGCGAAAGGGTTGCGATTGACTAAGTAAAGTCGCAATTTTTCCTCAGTTTTTGACGTCCAACGTCCATTTCGTGCGAAAGGGTTGCGCGCGACCGATAAAAGTTGCAATTTTTCCTCAGTTTTTGACGTCCAACGTCCATTTCGTGTGTCAGGGTTGCGATTGACTAAGTAAAGTCGCAATTTTTCCTCAGTTTTTGACGTCCAACGTCCATTTCGTGCGAAAGGGTTGCGCGCGACCGATAAAAGTTGCTTTTTTTTTTCAGTTTTTAACGTCCAACGTCCATTTCGTGCGAAAAGGTTGCGCGCGACGGATAAAAGTCGCAATTTTTCCTCGGTTTTTGACGTCCAACGTCCATTTCGTGCGAAAGGGTTGCGCGCGACCGATAAAAGTTGCAATTTTTCCTCAGTTTTTAACGTCCAACGTCCATTTCGTGCGAAAAGGTTGCGCGCGACGGATAAAAGTCGCAATTTTTCCTCGGTTTTTGACGTCCAACGTCCATTTCGTGCGAAAGGGTTTGCCGGGGACGCTTCAAAATCGCAATTTTACCTAGGTTTTGGACGTCCAACGTGCATTTCGTGCGAAAGGGTTGCGTTTCGTGGCGCTCCGGCGGCACCGCCCCCGCCTTAAGAGAGAATAGAAGAAGAGCGAGAGGAGATCTGCAGATGTGAAGGTGTGAAGATCTAGATCTGCAGGTGTGAGGGTGTGAAGATCTAGATCTGCAGGTGTGAGGGTGTGATGATGTAGATCTGCAGATGTGAGGGTGTGAAGATCTAGATCTGCAGGTGTGAGGATGTGAAGATCTAGATCAGCAGGTGTGAGGGCGCGAAGATCTAGATCTGCAGGTGTGAGGGTGTGAAGATCTAGATCTGCAGATGTGAGGGTGTGAAGATCTACATCTGCAGATGTGAGGGTGTGAAGATCTAGATCTGCAGGTGTGAAGGTGTGAAGATCTAGATCTGCAGGTGTAAAGGTGTGAAGATCTAGATCAGCAGATGTGAAGGTGTGAAGATGTAGATCAGCAGATGTGAAGGTGTGAAGATGTAGTATAACGGCTGCTTTTTTACGAAGAACCCTTCGCAGGCGCTCTCGGGAAAAATGTGTATATATGTACATATAAATATAATATATATATATGTATACATATATATATATACGTATATACATATATATATACATGTGTGTATGTGTCCATATATATATATACTTTGTGTATTATGTATAATTATCCTGCATGTATGCTAAATATACTTAATATAATCTATATACTATAATATACTATATATGCCATGTTCAGATCAGATATGATGGGAGGACAGCTTCTCCCTGGTCCGCTGCTGCATGTGTTCCAGGCTCTGCTCAGCGGCCGCCACAATTCCATGCCCGACAGCGCGGTACATGGTGCCCTCCTGGGAGGATTCGGGTGGGCTCCATTCATAGATGATATAAATGATGATTTACCTGGTAAACATACAAAAAGCTATTGAAAATGGCCATTGATAGTAGATTTACCCATTAAAAATGGTGATGTTCCATAGTTATGTTAGTTTACCAGAGGGTACCTGGTAAACGTACGCATTCTGCATGTATTATGGATGTATGAAATGCATGTATTATGCATGCATAATATGGGGTTATCATATGTTATTGTGCCCATAACTTGGGATATATTATAACCTCTCTAATTTGGTGAAATATGCAACTATAACTACAACTGGCTGTGCACCCCCAAGTATGGTTGATTAGTTGATTTTAATAAGAAAAACCATGGTCAGTGTGGTAGGTTGAGGGTGAGGGGTTATTTTTTCGAGCAGTTCATTTGCTCTGGAAACCAAACTCATGGGAAGAAGACCTTCGAACATCTTCGAACCGTTCCTATCCAGGGCCACCCTCACAACAAGTTGGTTTCACCGGGACGGGTCGAAATTTGATCACCCCTATGGATCAAAACGGGATACTAGTCACGCCCCAAGCTTACTAAATGCTCTCGGATCTGGGTAAATCAGATCTACTTTTTAAATCTTTTTACGGTTTTATGGTGATTTAGATCATCGATATTTATGTATACAGTAATAGATCATCAAGTGATAATGCTGCTATTAGGTCATCGATTCTGGTCATTGTTTGTGGCTGGTCACGGTTCAAAATGACCAGAATCTGTGGCTCCCCCGATGCCATCTGACCAACCCCCCAACCGCACCTTCAAGGATGACTCGATGACCTGAGGACACGGCAACCCCATCTTCGATTTTTGCACAAAAATTGCCAAGTACTGCCGGTGTCCTTTTTTTTTCGGATTTGTTCGCCCCCCCCCATTCTGTCTTACACAATAGTGTTATTTACAGGATCCCTATTTACGCATGGGACAGGAACGAGTATCCAGTGCCAAAGTCCTTCGCCAAGACGCAGTCTTGATGTTCCTCACCAAGGCTTCGTCGCGCATGCCTTGGCTGTCGAACACTGCCGTGCCACTGTCGAAGACCATGAAATCACTTCAGAAATTTTGGAGAATAAAGGTTCTAGGGAAGCAGTTGGGCATAGATTGTTAATCCTTTTGAATTTAAATATGTTTTAGATTGTTTTAGAATGTGTTGGATCATGAGGAAATGACCATCCTGACCATCCTTGCATAGTTCGTTGTAGATCCTTCTGTTCACCAGGCGATCGGAAAAAAATCCTTGCCAGAAAATCACCGATCAGTTTTTCCATTCTGCCAGAGTGCTGTCATCGGTCATCTTTCGAATGGTCTGCATCAACTTAGGGTCCATGATGATGTAGTCAATGAGCCTGGCTTGTTGGAACACGTTGGAACCAGCCGTGGCTTGGTCACTGAGATCAAAATAAACGCAACTGACTCACACCTAAAATTAAGGGATCATGGCTCCTCTTGGCTCCTTACTCCCCCCAAAAAAGAAAAACATGTTCAGATACTATAGACTTATGATCATTAGATCATTTCTATAAATCAAAAACCATTAAGTCATTATACGTTCCAATGATTTATAGCCTCAAACTACTCTAAATCCAACATCAAAGCCATGGCCCCGTCCGCCTCACTACCGCCGGGGCCAAGGATGGCCCCGCGCTGTCGATGAAGCCCGCGATGGCGGGAGGTAGCTCGGGCCTGGTGCGGTGCTCTGTTTCTATGCCTAGAGGGGGTTCTGTAAATATGATTCATAATGGTTAATAATGGCTAATAATGGTTAATAATGGTTAATAATGGTTAATAATGGTTAATAATGGTTAATAATGGTTAATGTAGTTAATGATGGTTAAACCATAGAGAAACAATGTGAACCATAGAGAAACAATATTGAACCAATGATAACCAATGTGTGTATGTAATGTATACTGAACCACCCTCATTGAACCAGCTCTCTCTGAGTTCTTGCACCCACATGGAATGACTGAGCAGGTGATTCAGGTAATGATATTCTGCCAAAATTGGGGGGGCTGGTTTGGTATACCATTGATCTAATGGTTGTTCACTGGGACAACTGGCCATTCCTTGACCATCCAGTCATGAGGCTGAATCCACCGGGCCAGCGAGTGACTGGCCCAGATGCGCTATAAAGGCAAAATATTCTGTAATGTATGCATTATGTGTGCGTGTGTATGTGTATATATATATGTGTGTGTGTGTGCATACATAT